AAGCAAAAGATTTTCACTTTTGTTCAGAAACCAAGATGCTGAAAATAAAGAGACATGACTGAATCAAAATGACTCAGAAAGTCTAAAACAAAAGGGATGGGCAAAAGTACACTAGACAAATGGAAACAACAATAAAGCAGGGGTTATGATGCTAATGTTGAAATAAAGCTTAAACCAAAATGCATTAAATGAGAGAAAGGAGGGCATGTTTTCATGCCACAGTTTACAATGGATATACTACAGTTATGAATTCGATTCACCAAATAACTCAGTAGCAAACTATGAGGAAAAACTACAGGACATGCAAAGAAACACCGATAGAAACACACAAACAAAAAGACTTCAAAACATTACCTTCAGTACAAAACAGACTCAGCAGCCTAAAAAGGTGAATAAATGTAGACCTCAGTAGCATAAGCAATCATGTAGATCTCACAGATACACAGTCATGCATCACGTAAGGATGAGAATATGTTCTGAGAAATTCCTCTTTATGCAATTTCATTGTTGTGTGAAGATCATAGAGTGCACTTACACAAATCTAGATGGCATAGCCTACTATCCACCTAGGCTATATTGCATAGGCTATTACCCCTAAGCCACAAACCTGTGCTGCATGATACTGTGCTGAACACTAGAGGCAATCATAGCATAACGGTAAGTATTTGTGTATCTAAACATAGAAAAAGTATAGTAGACATATGATATAAATGATTTTGAAAAATAGTACAGCTGCATAGGGCACTTACCATGAATGGGCTTGCAGGACTGGAAGTTTCTCTGGGTGAGTGAGTGGTGAATGAATGTGAAGGCCCAGGACATTACTGTTCACCAGGGTAGGCTTTATAAACACTATACACTTAGGTTACCTTAATTTATTAAAAAAAAAAAGAAAAAAAAAGGAATTGTGCTATGATGTTACAATGGCTACCATGTCACTAGGCAATAGGAATGCCTTAGCCCCATTATAATCTGGGACCATCATTGTACATTTGGTTGGTTGTTGACTGAAACATCATAAAGTGGGACATGACTATAATTATTTTATTTCATTCTGTTAGTGAAACTGGTTACAGGAGATAAGGAAGTTTCGGTTTATGCCTAAATAATGTCACTTACTTTAGGTTTTACTAAAGTGAAAGTGTAAAAATTTTAAATGTAGAGTTGCCTGTTTTTAAGGAAGCAAATGTTTTAAAGATAACAGTCCTACATTTGTATGAATGTGAAAGTTTATAAAGCACTCTGGTTTTCAAACTTATCTATGCCTACAACATCTAATCTTTCTTCTCTTCTTACCACCACAAAGGAAAAGGAGACCCTTCAGCTTAGCCCTGATTCTAACCTCTGCCCCACTACTACCCACCACTTCCCTGTGTCAGCCTCCCTCCCTCTAACAGCTCCTTTATCCAGTCTTTAAAAAGAATATGTGAACCCCAAAAATTAGAGACAGGTCTCAGTTAATTTGGAAAGTTAATTTTGCCAAGATTAAGAACACATACCCATGACACAGCCTCAGGAAGTCCTGATGACATGTGCCCAAAGTAGGTGGGGCCCAGCTTGGTTTTATACGTTTTGGGAAGACATGAGACATCAACTAATGTATGTAAGAAGTACACTGGCTCTGTCCAGAAAGGCAAGGACAATTCAAAGCAGGAAGGGGCCTTCCAGGTCACAGGTAAATGAGAGACAAATGGTTGCATTATTTTGAGTTTCTGATAAGCCTTTCTGAAGGAGGCAATCAGAATATGCAGCTATCTCAGTGAGCAGAGGGATGACTTTGAATAGAATGGGAGGAAGGTTTTGCCCTGAGCAGTTTCCAGCTGGACTTTTCCTTTTAGCTTAGTAATTTTGGGGCCCCAAGATTTTCCTTTCACAAATACAAACCCTCCCTCCAAACTCATTCCCCTGTAGCTATTGCCACTTCTTTCTTGATCCTCAAAGAATTGTCCCCCCTCATCTCTGCATTCTCTGTGCTGCAAAAGGAATGACTCAACTGTCAAACCTCAGTGCTGTTCTCGCTTAGGTCTTTCTGCTGCTTAAGACCAGGTTGGCGGTCCCCTCCCAGCCATTATCTTCTCCCTCAGTCTTCCCATATGTCTCCTTCTACCTCTGGCTGCCTCTCTTGCTGCCTTTTCATCTTTCCTCCATTCATTGATATTCACCCTGGTTCTTCCTTCTACTCCCTTTACACCTCCACACATCCTTCCTCCATAACTTAATAACTGTGATTTCTATTTACTGTTCACTGCTGACTCCCAAATCTGAGCATCCCTTTTCTGGTCCATATGTCTACTTCTGTGAGCCTACTGGACATTTCTGTCTAGATCTCCTAAACAGCAGACTTTGTTGTTTTCCACAATTGCTATTCCTTAGCATTTCGGTGAAGAGTGGAAGGGGGAAGGATTACATGACGAGGAAGGGTGTGAGGGTCTCTGGGACCCTGTCCAGCAGCCAGGGAATGTCCATATGGAAAGAACTCCAGAGATGTGGGCTTCAGGATCCTGCCGGCTGCATGGTACATGTAAGTGTGAGTCCAATGGTAAAGCTAGTGAGTACAGCATCTATCTTTTCAGGCCCCCTCCCCAAGCCTCCACTTTGTGTGGTTATTTTATGACTGGAAATCTTGAGTAAAGGAATACTTTAAGTTTTTGGACTTCCTGCAGAGGCACAGGGTGGAGGTTGAGAAGGCGACTCCACCCCAGTCTCTCAGTGTCATCCAGCATCTGGACTGCAGTCGTGTTGGGAAAAGAGTCGCCATGAAAACCACGACTAGAGGTTATCTAGCTGGACAAGTAGTAGACCAAGTTCCCTGATTATTTTATTTCTTCCAAGACAAGCCTCCCTTCCACATGCACATGTGCCTTGATCAGACATAAGGAAGCTTGGTGCTCCTGTTATGTATTCCCTACCCTTGCCTAAACCACAAAAACGTTCTTGAATTACCTCAAGGTTCAGGGCCCCCGTCCATCTATCCCCAACATTGCTCCGGGATTTTCTAGAGTTAATTGGATCTTATCATTCCCTTTCTTAAACTTGAGAGTTTGAGCACTGCCCCCCGCTCCCCACCCCCACTACTTTCCTTCATTGTCCACACAAAGTAAAGCTTCTTAGCTGGGCACCCAAGATACTTCTGTTACTTGATTTTGTCTAACCTCTCAGTCTTTGCTTCCATCATCTGACCACTTGAGTTCTGGGCCCCAGAAGTTCTGAACTGCTTCCTGGGACAGACTACATGCTGTCAGCCTAATGAATCTTACCCAACTTGGCCTTCAAGGTTCCACTGCTATGTGACTTCCCCTGAAGATTTGTCTCCCCCCTTCTTTAAGAGTTGCTCTTTGTTTTCTGAATGCTTTTATTTATTTATTTATTTATTTATTTTGAGACAGAGTCTTGCTCTGTTGGCAGGCGCCAGGCTGGAGTGCTGTGGCACAATCTTGGCTAACTGCAATCTTGGCCTCTGGGGTTGAAGCAATTCTCCTGTCTCAGCCTCCCAAGTAGCTGGGACTACAGGCGTGCACCACCATGCCCAGCTAATTTCTGTATTTTTAGTAGAGACGGGGTTTCACCATGTTGGCCAGGATGGTCTCGATCTTTTGACCTTGTGATCCACCTACCTCGGCCTCCCAAAGTGCTGGGATTACAGGCATGAGCCACCGCGCCCAGCCTCTTTTATTTTTTAATAGAGACAACGGTCTTGCTAAGTTACCTGGGCTGGTCTTCAACTCCTAGGCTTAAGTGATCCTCCTGCCCTGGACTGCCAAAGTGCTGGGAGTACAGGTGAGAGCCACCACAGCTGGCCTGTTTCCTAAATGCTTTGATAGCATATTTTGCAAACCTCACTTAACATCTACATATCACAAGATATGGGAATGGATTGTTTGCTTGTCTACTGTCTCCCAAAAGGAAAGAAGATGTGCCTCTTTACCATCAGTAAAATTGTAGGTGCAAAGGGACTCCTAATAAATGTATATGGAAGAAAAAGAGGAGACTGACAAGTAGGAAACATGAGGAAAATTAGCATGATGGATCCCATGCCTCAAGACCAAAGTGACAAATGACAAAGTAATTCTCTCACTATCTTGAGAGGCTCAGGCCAGGCTACCTGGGTTCAAATACCAGCTGCACTGCTTAACTAAACCTTGTAGAAGTTACTTAAATTTTTGGTCTTCAGTTTCTTCAACTTTAAAAAGGAAATAATAGTACCTACCACATAGGATCATTCTGAGATATTAAAAGGCATTTAAAGGGCTTGACACAGTGTCTCGGACATGATAAGCCCTTAATAAATACTATCTGCTGCTGTTATAATGATTAGCTATCCATCCCAGCACAGCTTATGTAGTTTAACCGGTTTCTATTAAAGAAAATAGAAGTAATTATTGTAGTAAAGTTGCATAAAATACTGAAATGCGCCTGTGTCATTCTTTTGCCCACCTAGCTCAAAATGCCTTTCCCGAGTTTGGGTAATTTCTCACCTTATGAGTTTAGGTTACCTTTCACTAAGAAGCCAACAGCATCACCAGCCTCATCATCATCATTATCATCATCATCAACAACAATAAAAGCCAGACACAGCCTGTTCAGGACCCCCTTGCAGCAGGACTTGTAGCATATGATTCAGGTTTGACTTGTCAGACACACTCAAACCAGGTTTAGCAATGGGAGCTAGTAATGCCAAGCAGCAGTGATGGGAAAACTGCAGCACAACCATGCCCACTTTCCCATATGCAGCAGCAGTGGTGGTCCCAGTGGTGGCATCTAGAGCCACTGTTGACTGTGCAAGATCAACCGCGTCCTCAAAGGGCTATTTTTGGTAGCATGAGTATGGCTAGGTGCTTGTCTGTGGCCAAGGCCCCTTTGTTTTCCAAGCCTTATCTCTATCCTATCCAGAAATGTTTTAACCCACCCAGTATTCTTTCCTGCTTCTACCAGCCTGGGTTAGTTTTTCTTGGTGCAGTTCAACCTGCCAGACTGGTACAGATGGTCAGGTCAGATGGTTTCATAAAATGTAAGTATACTCTGTCTACTTTGTTTTATTGGTTTGTTGATTTGCAGTATTCTTTAATTGGCTCCTGCTCAGGGACTGTTCTTGGATGATTTTTGTTTTAGTAATGCTGATATGTTAAAGAGGGTTTTTTTGGTTTTTGGTTTTTTGACAGTTGTACTTTCGTTTTTCCTTTCCTTCCCATCCCTTTTTTGGTACTGGTAATTGTGTCCTAGGGTAGAGAAAATCAGGCAACTAATGAGTGTAAGAATAAAGGAGAACAGATGGAGAGGAACAAAATCAGTGCTCAGTGTAGGAGAGTATCACAATAGGACTATGAGCTCATTTAATGAAACTTTTATTTTACAGATAAAATAGTTGGAACAAGGAACACACAGCTAATGGTTCAGCCACAACTATATTAACTGCATCTCCAGACTTCTCATCCAGGGCTCCTGCCTCTATCCATTATACCAACAGGCAAAAGGCAAATAACTGAAATGCAAGCTGAGGTCACATTAAATTTAAGCCAATTAATTATACTTTTTAGGTTTATGGTTGTATATGATACAGATTTACATTTTCAAGAGGTTTTACAATTTACAAAGCAGTTAAATCCTTTAAACTGCTCTGAGATAGCACTTAAAAAATAAAAAAGAGGTCTTGGTATTTTTTAGCACCTCTCCTATCTCTGACTTTCCTGTCTTCCTTGACTATTTGTTTTGGTTTTGAAGCTGTAGCTACAAAATGTGTGCATTGGGAAGAAAGCAGTTTTAATGTATTTGAACAAAAGGGTCCATTGATTGAAGCCATCATAAAAATATATGGGATGCTGTTATTAACCTCCATTTTACAAATGAGGAAACAGAAGCCCAGAGAGATTAAGTGGTTTGGCCAAGATTAAATAACCATTAAATGGCACAGTCACTACAAGGTTAATTTTAAAAAACATATAACATACATTGAGCATTTAATGTGTCAGGCTGGGTAAACAAAATATAGTTCTAGTTAACTCCTAGGTAAGCATAAATTTGTATAACCAGTATATTACTTTCTAACCCACTGTTACTGAAATTTTTATTTTACTGTTTTCTGAAATTTTAGCAGCTGGACAATCAAGAAATAATTTCCTACTTACATAAGACTCATGTAACCAGATCTGTTTGGAGACTGATCTTGATGTATATTAGACTAAAAGGTCTTAACTCAAAAGCATGTTTTGCATCATTTGTCTAGATTCTCTAAAGTAAGAATGGAAAGCTGTAATTTTCAAATGTCTTCGAATGAACAAAAAATCGACAAGAATATGAAGTTGACTGCATTACTGTATAATCAATTATTGGAACCTTGATTTAACAAGCTATTTTCATCTTCAGTCCAATGGCATACAAAGAGGAAATTTTATTTTTTGTAGTTTCTACAAATTCTTTGTAAAAATTATGAAAGTCATTTGCGAAAAATAACTAAGCGAATTGATATGGAATATAAGATGAATAATACATTTTTAAAATTTAGTTGCGTATAATGGAAAACGTCATTCTTGTATATTCAGCTGAAACAGACCATTAGTGCAAGAGCTAAACATTAATGAGATCCGGGGTTTGTGAGGAAATGTTATTGCTGCTTTTCCCTTAGAAAGTCAAAAGAAAAATGGGGAGAGCTTTTAAGTGAAAACTAAATAAAGGTGCTGGCATCACAATCGGGAATGCAAGGATGCAGAAGAAATGGTAAAATGTGGGTGGGCAGAACAACATAAGCCTTACAACAGACTTGAGGTGGCTGTCAAGCCTTTCAGACATGTGATTGATAAGGGATGTCAGAGGAGCGTTTCCTTTTTCATCAACGCTTCGGGAGACGGCGGACCAACACCAACACTGGGCGGAAGAGCGCCCCAGTCACGCAGACTGGGCCGCCCCTGGCTCTCCTCTGGCTCGCCTGGCCACGTCCCTTCCTGCCCTCGCAGCAGGGTCCCGCCTTTTCCGCCTTTCACTTCCTGCTAACCGCACGCCCTTGCACCGCTCTCGCGGGACCCGATTGGCTGACGGGGCAACCGCCAACCGCTGCGTAGTTTAAACCCGAGCCGCAGCCGCAGCTGCTCGCCAGAGCGCCAGGGCTGGGTGGCGGGGACCTCACGCTGAAAGAGAGGTAAGTCAGTGACCTGCGGCATTTGGCGTGGCCGCCCTCTCCCTGGCGAGATAGGTGCCGTTCTTGAGCCGGTTCTCTCGGCTATGTCCGCTTCGGTCTCAGGCTCGTCCTCCGCCCTCCGCCCCCCGGGATCCCGGACGGCGGCCGCTCTCCGGCTCCGAGGGGTTCGTTGACGGAGTCTTGTTTTGGATTTGAGTCACGGCCTCTTGTCTCAGATCTGAGCGTCCAGCAGGGCAAGCGGGGAGAGCGCCAGTTAGGTCAGCTACTTAAGAAATTTCTGTCTTGGGAACTGCCCGACTCCCTGCTTGTTGAACAGTTTCTAGCTCGTTGTGAGCCCTCAGTACGTGTCTCGGAATGAATGTTAGGGACTGCGTGCCAGAGTTCTCGAAGGAGCCATCTCCTCGGGAGAGGCTGGCTGAAGACGAAGGGGTGATGGAAGACTGGGGAGAACTTGGAACTTGAGCCGCGTCTTCTTGATATGCAGGCAGGATATCAGCAGAGAACAGGGACAAAGATTTTTCTAGCTGAGGTATCCAATTCAGGAGAATTGGATGTGGAACTGAGTATTTTATATTTAGAGACAGTTGAGATGCTGGCCGGAAAAGTCTCCAGTGTAGTAATAAATAGGGGTTGGTATTGAGTGCTGACTGTATACCAGGTCCCATAATAGACACTGTACATACATTGGCTCATTTAGTCCCTGCAAGGAGATTCCCTTATTTTCTGTGGTTTTATAAATCTGGTAATTTAGACGAAGAAGTATTGAGATCACATGGCTATGAAACGTTGGAATTGGGGCTCCAACACAGTTCTAATCATCATAATGTCTCAGTGTCTGTATGGTAAATCACCCTGGAACAGTACTCCAGGTGCCTGTTTCTGGCTCCTGAAGTGCCCCTTGGTGAGGTCGTTGATGGAGAGGGTGACAGGGCAGTGTTAAGGAAGGCTCCTAGATTTCTGGCATGAGAATTAAATTAGGTGATTGGCAGTGCCATTTATTAAATTAAGGAATTGTGTCAGAACCAGCTTATTGGGGAGAGCAGTCCAGCTGATGTTTCCTAATTAGTAAAATGAGATTTGATATTCCAGACTGGATTTTTTTGGGAGATGGATAGATTTCTATGCTAGGATCCCTTTCAGGTGTATAAGATGCAACAGTTTGTGGGGAGTTTCTGTGTTCTACTGTCTATGAGATAGATAGTGATCTTCTTTGGTTTTAAAGTTTCTTTTTGGCAAAACGTTTAAAAGAACCATTGAGCCTTAATCTTTTTTTGTTTGTTTGTTTTTGTTTTTTGAGATGTAGTCGCCCAGGCAGGAGTGCAGTGGCACGATCTCGGCTCACTGCAACCTCTGCCTCCTGGTTTCAAGCGATTCTTCTGCCTCAGCCTCCTGAGTAGCTGGGACTACAGGCGTGCATTACCACGCCTGGCTAATTTTTGTGTTTTTAGTAGACACAGGGTTTCACCGTATTAGACAAGCTGGTTTCGAACTCCTGACTTAGGGATCCGCCCGCCTCAGTCTCCCAAAGTGCTGGATTACAGGCATGAGCCACTGCACCCGGCGAGCCTTAATCTTGAAAGGTTTCTGGTTCAACTTATTCCCCGCTGCAGAAATTTCTTCTAAAACCATCTTTTCGTTATTTGCTTGACTCCACCCAACATCTGGTTAACACTTTCAAAGGAGACCCATTCCAAGAGTGAGCAGTTTTTCTATTGGAAAGTTCTTCCAGTCATTCATAGTCACTTCTTCCACAAATGTTTATCCAGCAGCTGCCATGTGGCTGGCACATTCCTGTACTAAGGTACAGAAGCAAACAAACGACAAAAATTAATGCCTTCATTGAACTTACAATTTAGTAGGAAAAAACAGATAAGTTAAATAAACTATTTAGATTTATCTTAGACATTGGTAAGTTAATGGAGAAAAATAAAACAGAAGGGGAAAATGGGGTAAGTGTACAATTTATAAGTAGTTTGGATTGGGAAGGCTCACTAAGAAAGTGATATTTTAGCAAGTGCTCCCAGGAAGTGAACAAGCCCTGTGGTCATTTGAAGGAGACATTGATACAAAGGGAAAAAGGAATAAAAGTTTCTGCTTTAGAGCATGTCAAGGTAGGCAATGTGGCCAGAGATTCTTGAGCAAGAGGAAGATCAATGAAAAGGATTAGAAAGGTTCACTGATGATAAATTAGGGAAGAGGCGAAGTGTCAAATTGTATAGTACTTTCTAGGCCATTTTAAAGAATAAGTGAGATGGAAAGCTACTGGAGACTGTTTTGGGAATAATATGAATTTACTTAAGTTTTAAAAGGATCATTGTGGTTGCTAGGTTGAGAGTAGATAGTAGGGGAGAAAATGGAAGCAGGAACACCAGTCACATAACTATAGCAATAATGTATATGAGAGAGAATGGCAACTTGGAACAAAGTGGTAGCAGTACAAATAGTGGTAAGTAGCCCAAGGGGATATATTGTGAAAGCTGGACCAGCATAATTAATGATAAAGTGGATATGGAATATGAAAGAGAAGTTTCTGACCTGAGCAACTGAAAGGATGGAGTTGTCATTAAGTGAACTAGGGAGAACATGGTGGAGTAGATTGGGATGGGGAGAGTTTAGGACATGTTAAATTTGAGATGCGTGTTAGAAATCCTAGTTGGAGATGAGTAATAGGCAGTTGGATGAATAAATCTGGAGTTGAAGGGAACAGTCTGGTTTGGGAACACAAATTTGAGAGTTATTGGTATTTAGATTTAAAAGCCTGGATACTGGCTGAGAGCCCAGGGAAGTATATGTAGATATAAAAGAGATGAGATCCAAGAACTGAGACCTAGGGCACTCCAGTGTAAGAGGTTAGAGAGATGAAGAATAACCAGCAAGAGAGACTGAGAAGTGGTCAGTGAGGCAGGAGAAAACCCTGCCTCAGCACAAACAAAAGAATGTGCTATTGTGCAAGCCAAATGAAGAGCATACTTTCAAAAGGAAGGAATGATTTGACATTGACTGCTTTTCACAGATCAAGTAAAAAGAGACTGGGCCTAACCACTGTATTTGATTTAACAACTTAGTAATACAGTGCCCTTAATGAACAATTTCCATATGGTAGTGTTGAGAGCAGAAATTTCATTGTAGTGGATCAGAGAGACTGGGAGGAGATGAATTGGAGACAGCATGTATAGACAACTCTCTAAAGGAATTTTGCTCTAAAAAGAAGCAGGGAAATCGGGTCATAGCATTCCAGCATCAAGGGACCACTTGTATTTTCTTAAATGTCTCATTTTCATGCATTTACACATGCCAGTCTTTCTTCCTGGAATACCCTTCCTAATCTTGATGCCTGATAAGTTCTTGGTTTGTAAGACTTATTTATTCATGCAAAAAATATTTACTGTGTTGACATCATTTGTCATGCACTATTCTATGAGCTGGGGAATGTAGTGACTAAAATATAAAAATCCATGATCTCCTGGAATTTAAATTCTGGTTAGGAAAGACAGACAATAAATAAATCTATAATATGTTAGATAATGATAGATGTTAGGGGAAGGAGCTACAGTTTTGTTTCGTCTCTCACTCAGGCTGGAGTGCCATGGTATGATCTCAGCACACTGAAACCTCGGCCTCCCAGGTTCAAGTAATTCTCTTACCTCAGCCTCTTGAGTACCTGGGATTACAGGCACCGGCCATCATGCCTGGGTAATTTTTTTGTGATTTTAATAGAGACAGGGTGTCACCATGTTGGCCTAGCTGGTCTTGAACTCCTGACCTCAGGTGATTCACCCACTCAGCCTCCCAAAGTGCTGAGATTACTGGCGTGAGCCACCACACCTGGCCTGGAGCTACAGTTTTAAGTGACCTCACTGAGAAGGTGACATTTGAGCAGACTTAATAGAGGAGAGTGAATGGGCCATTTGTATATCAGGAGGAAGAGGTTTCTAAACAGCATTTATTCTAAATGTAAAATAACCAGTACTAAGGACCTGAGACTGAAGAATGCCTGGCATATGCTCCAAAAAGCCAGATCTTGGTAGCCAATGTGGCCTGAGGAGAATGTGATAGCAGGAGAGAAGGAGGAGTTCAAATTAGAGAAGAGCAGAGATGGTGGAGAGACTGTACTAGGATTTTGGAGAGAAGTGGGAACCATTGGAGAGTTTTAGGTTGTATAGATTAATTCACTATAGGGGAGCAACAGTGGAAATAGGGAGTCAAAGCCTGTTACAGAAACTCAGGCGAGACATGATAGTGCCTCTGACTAGGTTGGCACCAATGGACGTACTGAGAAGTGATATATTTAAATATATTGTGAAGATAAATTGAGTTGTAAGAGAGATTTTTGACCTGAGCAACTGGAAGGATGAAGTTACTGAAATAGAGAAGGCTCTGAGTGAAGCAGGTTTGGGCAGGTTAAATTTGATGCATCTACTTTAGTTATTCAAGTAGAATTGTAGAGTAGACAGTTGGATATATGAATCCAGAGTTCAGGAAAGAGATCCAAACTGAGGACTTGAATTTTGGAGTTCTTGGCATCTGGCTGGTATTTTAAGTGATGAGACTGTGTGAAATTACCAAAGGATGGAGTATAGGTAAAGAGAGGGAGTCCAAGGAAAGACTGTTAGTGGTTGGAAGAACCTGTAAAAGTGACAGAGGAGGAACAAGTAGGTAGGTAGGTAGGAAAAAACTTAGGAGTCTGGTGTTCTGGAACCCAAGGAAATATAATTTCTGAGGAAGGAGAAATTAACCATATTAAAATGCTGCTGATAGATCAAGTTCGATGAAGACTGAGAATTGACTATTAGATTTAGTAGCACAGAAGTCATCAGAGACCTTGACAAGCAGTTTTGGTGGAGTAGTCCAAGTGAAAGCCTAATGGAAGTAGTTAATGAGAAAATTGGAAATTGAGTGTAGACAATATTTTCAAGGAGATTTACTATAAAGATCTGCAGAGAATTGGAGTGGTAGTCTGAGTGTGAAGTGGAAACAAAAGAGGGTTCTTTAAGGTAAGGGAAATAGCAGTGTGTTTGTATATTGATGAGAATGATCCAGTGGAAAAGGAAAAAATTGATGACATAGAGGGAAGAATTGTTGGAGTGATGTCTTTAAGGAGGCAGGACGGCATGGGATCCAGTGCATGGATTGGTATCTAGGAACACAGTTGATCCCTAACAAAAGGAGAGAAAACAAATGCACAGAAACAGATACGGTAGGTAGGTAACTACAATGGAAGTCTTGAGAAAGTTCTCCATGGATTGCTTCAGTGTTCTCAGAATAACAGTGAGCGAGAATATGAAATAATTCATAAAGAGGAGTGACCCAGGGATTGATAACAGCAGTGAAGGGGAAAGGGTAATAGAGTCTAGTGACAGTATATTCAAGGATGAGAACTTTTAGGGAGGAAGGAAGATGAACGGTCTGCACACATGAATGTGGTGTAGCATCTAGAAGGCGTGTGGGAGGAAAAACAGCCCCTGCCTGACAGGACTGCAGGAGAATCTGTGTCCTTAGGGGAGAGAGTAGTTCAAAAAGATGAAGGGAACATTCAGAGAAGAGATTGAAGCTGTAGAGGTTTGGTTGATAATGGAGTGTGAGTTCCAGAGGACCTCATGAGTCTGGCAAGGGTGAGATAGGCAGGCTGTATTAGTTTCTTTTGGCTGCTGTAACAAATTATCATAAATGAGGTGTTTAAAACAACAGAAATGTATATCCCAACAGTTCTGGAGGCCAGAAGGCTAAATTCATTTGTCACTGGGCTGAAATCAAGGTGTCTGCCCAGCTGCACTCTCTGTGGAGGCTCTTCAGGAAAATCTGTTCCTTGCCTTTTTCAGTTCCTGATAGCTGCTGCCAGTCCTTGACATGTGGCTGCATCTCTTTCTGTACTTCCTTTAAACTCTGTGTATATCACTAAGGTTACACTTCTTACATTGTTTGAAAGCACTGTCTGTACCCACATTGTACCATGCATTCCATGAGGGCAGAGACCATATCCTGTCATCTGTACCCTCCATCTTTGCTGTCTTTTGTAAGGACTCTTGTCCTGGATAATCCAGGATAATCTCCCCATTATAAGGTCCTCAATTTATTCAAATCTGCAAAGGCCCTTTTTCCACATGAGGTTTAGAATTAAAGAGACCTAATAACTTTGGGGGTCCATTTTCCAGCTTACCACAGGACCAGATGAGGGATGTGTAGAGCTAAGGGGATTCCAGTGAGGGAGATGAAGGTGACCTGGAAGTTGAGGGATTCCTGCCGTGATTGACATAGTAAGATGAGTCCTGTGAACTCAAGGCAGGTAGTGGTGGAGAGGCTGAGTATCAGGGGTTAGGCAGGTGCAGGTGACAGGGTGTTTAGTTTAGTTTTGTTTTGATCTCAGCACATGGAGGCAAGGAGGATTGGGGAAGAAATCAAGGCATGGGGAGATTGGTCTTCTCCGAGCACATGGCTCAACATCAGCTGCTCCTTCTCAGTGAAGCTATTTCTGATCCTTTTCCTCTGCCCGGGCAGAGTTAATCACTTCTCCTCTGCATTATGTATTGTAGCCATTACTCTTGTAATACTACAATGTAATGATTTCTTTATCTTCCTGTTGCTGTAATAGGCCATAAACCTAACAAACAAATTTAAGATTTCTGGCAGTTCCTCCAGCCCTCTTTCCCCACTTGGATTATGTATATCTCTTCTGTACTTCCTTTAAACACTGTGTATATCTCTAAGGTTACACTTATTACATTCTATGAAAGCACTACCTGTACCCACATTGTACATGCATTCAGTGAAGGCAGAGACCATATCCTGTCATCTGTACTCTGCACCTGGTACATAAATGATTAATGTAGATTTGAATGAAAAAAACAGTCATTTTCCTTTTTGGATTATACCTTAAGCCACTTTTGATTACATTTATACTCAGATTTTATACAAAGTTTAGCAAATAACACACAAAGTATATTAAGTCATCATTATTATTTTAAAAAATGTATCAGTTATTATTTTTCTTTTATTAATCAATACTATGATTATTTTTTTCTCTCACTTTAGTGATGGAGTGCCCAGTGATGGAAACTGGCTCACTTTTTACCTCAGGAATTAAGAGACATGTGAAAGACAAAAGAATTTCAAAGACTGCTAAGTTGAATGTTTCTCTTGCTTCAAAAATAAAAACAAAAATACTAAGTAAGTGCCGTTAGTTTTAAAATACACTCACATTTTTATTTTTCCCCAGAATTGTTATGTTTGCTACCTTGTTTTATCAAGTACAGAAAATTACTAAAATGACTGTTTCATTAATTGATAACTTTTAAAATTTGAGCCTTCCTTTCTCCTTCAAGTCCTGTTAGTTGGATGGTTTTGATTATTTACCCTAAATGGTGACAGCTGAATTTTCAGCATTGAGGCTGGGGTGGCCCAAGATAGCTACTTTCTACAGTTCAGAAAAAAAACACCAATGTGACTTTTCTGGAAAAGATGTAAAAAGAGTAGCAGATTGTTCTGACATGCTGCAGCAACTGAATGATGGGTAGCCCAGAGGAGGTTGGCTCATACTGGGTGATGTAGAGTTTGACTTTATATGGGCAATCTTATAAAGACACTGAATACTTTGGAAATGGAATTTTGTGAATTCTGGAATTAAGGCATCAGAAGGGGAGAAAAAAAGGAGGTGGGAAAACTCCCCAAGATAAACTTTCATTACTTCTGAAAATTATCTCAATGTTCATACCCATCTTAGCAGGAGTCAGGGAGGTGTCCATTTAGTCACATTACCTGCTTATATAGATATGGCTCCTGTGAAGGACAATCACGTGTGCCTTCTAAAATAACCCAGCCTCCTGGGTGCCTGTAAATGATGATGCAGCTCCCACCCAGGTCTCTAGGGCCACCCATTACACTGCTCTTGTCTGCTCCTTTTGGCAAGATTATTTCATACCCCATGTTATGAGGGAATATGCCGGCTTTGAAGAGTACAACAGGAAAATGTTATTACTCTTTATCTTCTGGAAATCCTAAACCAGTTCTAGTCAGTTTCCGTTTGCTATGCCAAGGATGGCTATCCAAAACTACTCCCTCTGTGCCAGAAATAAAGTACTGTTTTGGATCCTGTTTTGCAGAATCCCAGATTTTCCCTAAGCACTTACAAAATATTATTAAATTTTTAAAAACTTATTTCATATACACTATACTTTTATTCTGTGGCGTATGTTATTGAATAATGACATGTAAATTAAAATTATGAAAATATAATGATATTTTAAGTGCACTAAGGGAACATACTATATGTAAGGTAAGCCTTACCAAGGAATTCACAATAAAATTTCTTTGCTTCCAACAGAAAAGCATTTCAGGAGTGATTTAAATCATATTTACATAGTGTTCTTAAAGAGAAGTCAAGTTCAGATTGCAGTAGATGCCTAGAAATAAGAAGTAGGATCTTTTGATGTCAGTAAAAGGTCTGACAGGGTTTAAATTATCTGTCTAACATTACGGTAAGTATGCCTCTATTGCTCAGGTTAAAAACGGACTTTGGGAGCATTAACTAATTTGTTCAGTTCTGGAGCTGTAGAAACTGGCTTTAGAATTTCACAGATTGGCTATCCTCATTCCTATGGGACATCTCCAGTTAGAACTGCAGAATCAGTTTTTGTATTCTATCTGCTAGTCAAAGGTAGGAAAGCAGGTAGAGCAGCAAGTATCAAGATTTCCTTTTTGTGGCTGATCTAATCATACAGAATGCTGTGTCTGGGCTGCAGTCCTCTTATTCCTAACTTTTATACATATGCTGCATTTCTCACAACTCCTGAATTCTTCATCTTCTGTCTAGCCTTCATTTCTTCAGCTTGAAACTCTGGGTTTATTTTTCTCAAAACCGCATGTGTATTGTTATTCACTTTTCCAACCTTCAGTTAAAACCTATAAAGTAAAATGCATTTTGTCTAATGTAGTTTTACTAAAGAATATAAAAATTTATTAAGGTATAAGTTCAATATTAACTCATTTAAAAAATCTTTTTTACAGACAATTCTTCTATTTTCAAAATTTCTTTAAAGCACAACAACAGGGCATTAGCTCAGGCTCTTAGTAGAGAAAAAGAAAATTCTCGAAGAATTACAACTGAAAAGATGCTATTGCAAAAAGAAGTAGAGAAACTGAATTTTGAGAACACATTTCTTCGCCTAAAGCTAAATAACTTGGTATGGAAGCTATATTGTTTTTGAATTCCAAATTGTAACTTAAATCTTTTAGCTGCATTATTGTAGAAGCTCTTAAAATATTTTTCAAATCTCTAATTGTGAAAAATTATTGAAAGTCAGTATGTCATGTAAATCTATGTTAAAGGACAAACTGTTAATGGGTAATAAAATATGTGTTTTAAATCTACATTCTAAATGTGCACTTGTGTGCTGTGTGAACCAGTATGATACCTTGATCAATACTTGATTGTTTATAAGCAAAGCGTGGTACATTAAGATGGTCATAGTTCTTCCAGTGAATTGAAAGGAAGGGAGTTCCAGAATGTTGTTGTTCTTTTTTAATCTCAGCATTTACCTGGCTAGAAGCCAAGCAGAATGAAAATTATAGCTGTTGCTTTTTTTTCCCCCTCAGATTTCAACTCTGTTCACAGACAGGGCAATGAGAGCCAGTGATTAGATAGGCTGCAACTGTAGATCTAAATCTAAAATAAAGAGAACTTACTTAAAATGGAAAAAGGACCTACTCTGCTTGTGGGTTAAATTCCTGTGGCTGACAATTTGTTCTGTTGCCATGTGATATATTATTGTGGAAAGACAGAAAAATGTTTATAGGAAAAGTTTTAATTGTCAGTTCCAAATCATTCAACATATGTGTGGTGTGTGTGTGTGTGTGTGTACATGTATGTATGTATGATATGTATGACTATTTGGATTATGTAATATAGTACTATTTGGTACTGGTACTATATAATCTAGTACCGTTTTAGCTGAATGTGATCTCAATTTTTTGTTCAATGTAATATCAATTATTTTTTAAGTTTTCTCACATGGACGGCATTCATAAATGCTTGATATAATAAACTCCAAGTCTTAACTAATTAAAAGATATCTTTATTTTATGTGTACAGAATAAGAAGCTTATAGACATAGAAGCTCTCATGAACAATAACTTGATAACTGCAATTGAAATGAGCAGTCTTTCTGAGGTAAGTATAATTTCTATGTAAATAGCATCATTCTTTAGATTACTCAGGATCACTGAGATTTAGTTAAGTAACAGCAAGTTTAGAAATTCATATTTCAAATTTTGTGCAAAGGACTGATGATAATAAAACTTTTAACTGGCTAACAGTATGTTATCATTTTGTATAATTGGTTATTGAAATTGTCATATGAAAATTTGGTTTTTATTAAAAGTAACAGGATAGGACAGGTCGGCAGAACATACTAGCCCAGAACCATAGACTCAGAACCATAAAGACATTAGTAGAAAGGTAGCATTTTAAATTAGGAAAGAATTTGGGGTTTGGTTTTGTTTTTTTAAAAGATGGACGCAATTGAAAAACTATTTGGGGAAAAAATAGAGGCTGATCCTATTTTATACTATTTTCTAAAACAAATTCTAGATTTCTCATATGCTTTTTATGTGTTTCTCTTTGGAGAACTAAGAGGGTTGAAGTCAACGTCTAAACTAAAGAAAAGTAAAAACTGGACAGCAGGTGGATGGAGAAGCTGGAGGTGAAGGCACAGTATACAACCGTGGTATCTACTTTCTTGAACTTACTATTTAACTTACTATTAAACAATTTAACAAGTTTTTTGTTTTTGTTTTTGTTTTTGTTTTGAGACAGAGTCTCACTCTGTCGCCCAGTCTGGAGTATAGTGGCATAATCACTGCTTATTGCAACCTCCACCTCCTGGGTTCAAGCAATTCTCCTACCTCAGCCTCCCGAGTAGCTGGGATTACAGGCGTGCACCACCACACCCAGCTAATTTTTATATTTTTAATAGAGACAGGGTTTCACCATGTTGGCCTGGCTGATCTTGAACTCCTGACCTTGGGTGATCTGCCCTCCTCGGCCTCCTGAAGTGCTGGGATTACAGGTGTGAGCCACCATGCCCAGCTGCATACCAGTTTTTAAATTCTCTTTTTTTCTAGTTGTTATTAAGTGGGAGCAGGTGATGGGTCATATAGATGTACTGTTCTAACATCAGAATGAGATCAGAAAAGTATAGAATAAAGTTTCACACATGCTTTTGTCTGCCTCCAGCTATTTTCGTCTCCGTTCTCTCTTCTCCTTGTACCTCATGCAGGTGATTGCTTTAATCTCTTTCTTTATATAAAAACAAACAAATAAATCTTTCTTTCTTTTCTTCTTTACACAAAAGATAGTGTGCTATACCAGTTATTTTGTGCCTTACTTTTTATGTGACATATCTTGGGGATCTCTCCATATGATTATGTGAAGTGATTCCTCATTCTTTTTTGGTGCTGCTTCAGATAGATCTAGAGTGGACTTGTAATTTACTTCAATAGGCTCCTACTGATGGACACTTGGGTTGTCCATTGCTGTTGGCTTGTGTTAGTGTAGAGTGCCTTTCCCTCTTGCATCATTAATTTTTTCCCTCCCTTCTGGATTGTTCCCATCAGGGATGTAATAATGTTATCATCTCTCATTAAAAAAAAAAATCAAAACCAAATAAACCTCTTACTCCACTCACTTTCCAGCTACTATCTCAGCTCTCTTCTTGCCTTTACAGCAAAACTTTTTGAGAGATTTATTCATTATCTCTAGTTTCTCTTGATTCCATTCCAATTAGGTTTTCACTACCAATCCACTAAATCCTGAAAGTCACCATTGATGTCCATGTTGTGAAAACCCATGGATAATTCTTGGTTCTTATGTTGACCTTCACACGACTTTTAGAATACCACACTCTCTCTCCTAAGTCTCTTCCTACATTTCTGGCTATTCTTTTTCAGTCCCTTTGCTGGTTTCTCTTTATTTTCCTAAGTTTACGACTCCATTCTTGGACTTCTCTGTCTATATTCACTCCCCCTAATTAATTTTATTCTATCTTATGGTTTTAATTACTACTGTATACTGATGACTTTCAAATTTATAACTCCAGCCTGACCATCTCCTCTGACCTCCAGACAATTTATATCTAATTACCTACTTGGCATCTGTTTGGATGTCTAAAAGGCATCTCAAATTTCACATTTGCCACCAAACTAGTTCCTTTTTTCATTTGCATCTAAGATAATCACAGCTCTCTTTTCCTATCTTTTTCTTACACCCCGTATCTGATCCTTTGGCAGATCTTTTTAGTTCTGCCTTCAAAATCAGTCTGCAGTTCTCACAACCCTCTTTTAACTACCCATGTCCAAGGTACCATTATCTCTTATTTACATATTGTATTAATAATAGCATCCCAACTTGGCCTTCTGCTCTTGGTTCTCTGTGTATTCTCTTATAACAGCCAGAGTGATCCTGTTAAAATGTTAGTCTCTGCTTAATACTCTCCATTGGTGTCTTATCTATTGCCTGATTTGATCTGAAAACTGAAACTCTTTGTTATTTCTTCTACCTCATTTGCTACTCTCCCCTTTCTTCCACTCTAACCTTTTCAGTGTAGTTCTTTCCCCACTCCCTCAAACAGAGGTGAACTGCTACCACAGTACCTTTGTACATGTTCTGTCTGCATGTGACAAGTTCCCATTTTTCAAATGTTGACTCAAAAGTGACTACAGTGAAGATTTCCCTAGCAACTCTGTATATATTTAAACACTTCCCACGCCTGCACCTACATTTCATATTCTGCTTTTCTTCTTTAATCTTTCTCCTTAACACTTAAAGCTGTATGACTATTTTGTTTATTGTTCATCCCATCAGAATGCAAGTTTCTTGAGTGCAGGGATGTCTTTACCAGAACAATATCTAGAACATAGTAGGATGCAATAAATATTTATGCAATGTCAGGTAGTATTTCCCCACTAAGAATGATGCTTGTTTTATGTATAAATAAGTAAGGTATATATTTTTCCTGCAGTCCCTCTTTGATTGAGCTTTTTAAATAAAAATAATGCTAAATAATGCAAGTATCTTTTTAGTATGATGATGATGTGGTCTTTTTAGGTGTCTTAGTATGATTATTTATTTTAGTAACTTCCCTAATTTTACATTTCTGTAATAAAGTTCAGAAATGATTTATTTTTCTTTTAATGTGCTGCTGAATTCCTTTTTGCCAATTTTGTTTAGGATTTTTCTGTTGTTAGAAGTGAGGGCTCTGAAGATTTTTTCTATATGTAGAAAAAAATTAAGACCATCCAGTCTTTAGGCATTGACAAAAGTGTTATATATGCTAAGCTCATAAAAATAATTTGGATGTTTTACTTTTTCTATGTTCTGGGAAAGTGACACAGTATTAGAATTGTTTTTCTTTAAAGGAATGATAGAGTTATTCTGTGAAACCATCTGGACCTGGGACTTTTTTGATGAGATTGATAGTAGCTTTTTGTTGAATTTATTTATTTATTCTATGGATAATGGTTCCCTTAGGAAAATGTCATTCTCTGTTTTGTTTTTAGTTTTATTAAATTATCTTTCCTTAGAAAGTTATCTGTTTCAAGTTTTTAATTTATGTTCACAGAGTTGACCAAAGTAGTCTGTCATTATTCTTTTAATTTTGTCTATGTTGTATTCCTTCAGTCGATTAATTTTGTGTATTTGGGCTTTTATTTGTCTTCTTTTTCCTGCACTATCTTAGATTGTTGTGGTTTTTCTATTTTATTTTATTCTTTTAAAAGAACCATCTTAAAAAAACAAGAACCATCTTTCTAATTTAATTCTAATTTAATTTATGTTTGATGTTTCATACATTTTTTGCTTTTATCTTTTATAAGTTCTTTTGCCTTTTTGTGGTTCATTGTTACTTTTCTAACTTTGAGCCAATCCTTTTTTTTGTTTGTTTGTTAACTGTAGGTAAGATGCCATTTCTCTCTCAATACTTTCATTTTCAAAATTCTCTTTAGTTTTGAGAATTTTGACTTTGATGTGTTTTGCCATGAATTTCCTTGGGTTTCTTTTTGGGGTTCACTCAGACTCTTGAATTTGTAGGTTCCCATCTTTATCAAGTTCGGAAAAATTTTCAGCCATTATGTCTCCAAATACTTTTCCAGTCCTGCCCTTTTTCTCTTTCTCCTTTTCTTCTAGGACTCTGAGGACAATAGTGTTTTATCTTTTTTGCTGTTCCACAAATCCCTGGCCCTCTGTTATTTTATTATTATTATTGTTATTATTTATTTTTTTGAAACAGAGTTTTGCTCTTGTTGCCCAGGCTGCAGTGCAATGGCACGATCTTGGCTCACTGCAACCTTCGCCTCCTGGGTTTAAGCGATTCTCCTGCCTCAGCCTCCTGAGTAGCTGGGATTACAGGCATGAGCCATGATGCCCAGCTAATTTTGTATTTTTAGTAGAGATGGGATTTCTCCATGTTGGTTGGGCTGGTTCCGAACTCTCGACCTCAGGTGATTTGCCTACCTCAGCCTCCCAAAGTACTAGGATTACAGGCATGAGCCACCGCACCCAGCTCATCTGTTATTTTTTTCAGTCTCTTTTCTCTCTTGTTCAGTTTGGATAATTTTTATTGTTCTATCTCCAAGTTTACAGATGTTTTTCTCCCTTTTGTTTTCTCTGTTTTGCTGTTGAGCCCATTTAATTTATTTTATTTGGTTATATTTTCAGTTCTGAGCTTTATTTGGCTCTTCACATTTATTTGTTTGCTTAGGTGTTCCAATGTTTTCATTCGTTTTAAGCATGTTAGTAATTGCTTGTTAAAGCATTTTTATGATACTTGTTTTAAATTCTTTGTCATATGATTCCAACATTTGTGTCATCTCAGTGTTGGTATCTATTGTCCTTTCTCATTCTAATATAGATTATCTGATTTTTAGTATGATGAGTGACTGATTTTCTATTATATTTTGGACATATTATGTGCATTATAAGACACTGGATCTTATTTGCATCTTCTATTTAAGCAAACCTGCTTTGACACTGCATTGGTGGTAAGGGGAGGTGCTGCCTACTGCCAAGTGGGGACTGAAGTTTAGACTTCCCATTCAGTCTCTGTTGACAACACTGTGATGGGGATGTATGCCTTGTAACTGATGAGTGGGCTGGGAGTTCAGGCTGACACCACTATGGCTGGAATAGGGAAGGGCATCTGATTACTTTCATAGCCTCTGCTGACATGAGGATGAGGAGGATAATGAAGGGGGAAGGTTGTCACTTCTGGAGTGATGAAAATCCTAGTTCTTTATTAAACCACTTCTGTCCCCACCATAGAGGAGAGGGAGGGAAACTCCTTCCTATCACTGAATGGGGATATATAGCATATATACATTTTATTCTCTGTATATTATGATGTTTTTATACCTTTTAAAACATTATTGACTGGAGACACTGCTCTTCTCAGGGCTAGCCAATTCTTAGAGATAGCAAGGGGCCAGCCAGGAGCATGTCTTTTGTTTTAGTCCATTTTCTGCTGCTGTAAGAGAATACCACAGACAGGGTAATTGATCGTTTTCTTTTTTCATTTGAGATTTCATTCTTTAAAAAGACTGCGTAATTTATAGAGAACAGAGATTGATTTGGTTCACAGTTCCAGACACTAGGAAGTCTAACAGCATGATGCTGACATCTGGCATGGGTCATCCCATGGCAGAAGGTGGAAGGGCAAGAAAGCATGCAAGACAGAAAAGGAAGCCAGACTTCTATAACTAACCCACTCCTGCAGTAACGGCATTAATCCATTCATGAGGGCAGAGCCCTTATGACCTAATTACCTCTAAAGATCCTGCCTCTTAATACCACCATAATGGTAATTCAGTTTCAACATGAGTTTTGGAGGAGACATTCAAACCATAACACTTTTGATATGCAAGCTAACTAATCCAGAGCCATACCTCCCCTGTCTGGCCCTTATATCTCAGGAGGCAATCATCCTCTGCTTTGATTGTCTTTGGGTCAGGTACTAAGCATCCAGGGACCTACCTCTCCTGTGTCTTAAAGCTTGCCAAAATTATTCAACCTAGCCAATTCTAGACTATTCACCCTGTCCTGCCTTGCCTTTCCTATGGAAACTCCAATAGGCCCTGGCCTAAACCTTCCCCTCGTTCCCATCTTCTGCCTCCTGACCACCCTAGTGTCTTTTCTCTGTGGCTCTGCATGGCCTGTTGTACCTCTTGTCTCTAGGACCTGTGAGTATAATAAACTTTATTTTTTCCTGAGAGTCTCTGCCTTCTTTTAATGACTGCACTCAACTGACCATATCATAAAAAGAATATGAAACAGGATGGAGATCCAAATATGGCCTCCAGCGACATTGCCGGGTGGGGATGTACTCTTTAACAGTGGGCTGTCCCATGCCTTTTCTGATGGTACGCCTGATTTGGAAGAGAGTTCCCTCATTATAGCCTGGTGAGTGTGGAAGTTTAGGTTCCCCATTTGACCTTTGTGCTTTGGTCAAAAATTAATTGACTAAATATATGTGAATCCATTTCTGGACTCTCTGTTCTATGTCATTGATCTATTTTTCTGTCATTATGCTATTACTACACTGTCTTAATTACTGTAACCCTCTAACTTTTTTCTTTTTAAAAAAAAATTTTTTTTTTTTAGCCATTCTAGGTCTTTTGCATTTTCATTTAAAATCAGCTTGATAATTTGTTGCCATACCCTTGTTTCTGTTACAGCTTAGCTCTGTAATAAACATGGTTGTGTGTTGCCTAATTTTCTGGTCCTTATTAAATAATTAAAACATATTTGTATCTGAAAATTGAGGAATATGGATAAGCAAAAATAGAAAACATATTAAAATCACCAAATTTTTAATTTTTAAAAGCCATTTAAAAGAGATAAAAGTCAGTAAAATATTATAAAATACATATGTAGACATGAACATATTGCATATATCTAAAGATATTGTATATGTGTAGGTATACTCATGTGTTTATTCGTACACGTAGAAGAATGTTGCAGTTATATACTAAAATATTGGCACTGATTGTTTTTAGTTGGCATGATTAAGGATGAACTGTTTTAACCTTATTATCACATTATTCTCATTAAACAATTAAAGGCAAACGGAAGAATTGTTCTTCTACTATTGATGTCATTGTGTAATTTGGTACTGTTATAACTAACATGATTTAATAAGGTTAAAAACTTTCAATTTTCTTCATTCTTTTCAAAAATAGTTCCATCAGAGTTCCTTTCTACTGTCAGCTAGCAAGAAGAAACGAGTTAGTAAACAATGCAAGTTGATGCGTCTTCCATTTGCAAGGTAAGTATGTCTTTGAATTACACTAGTAATACTAGTTCTAGTAATACTAGTTCAGAGTATTTAGATTTTATATAACTCCATCTGTTTGTGAGTATTGCACAATGTTTGGGATAATCAACCTACAGTTATCTACTAAGGTAGAAATGAGGTGGTTTGGTTTGTAGTGTTGTGCTATAGTTATGTCTCTAGGACTTCAAGGAAACTTACCTTACTCCCTAAACCAGGTTTATTTGTAATGTCTTGCCACTTTTCAGTTCCTTTTTTCTTTTCATTAGTTGACTTCTGGCCTTATATTGATTTTTGCTGGATAAAATCTGATGACTGTTTCTACCTTTATTATCTTGTGTACTGTTCTAAGCTTTAAAATTAACTTTCATCTTTGTTCTTCTCTTCCTGTCCACAATTCTTATTTTTGATTAATTTGATTATAAGTCATAGAAAGCATCCTGTTTCAAATCTATCATTTTAAAAGTCAGTTAGTGAAGCCCAGAGAGGTGAAATGATTGAATTGATAGCATTGACCAAAATCCTCTTGTCTCTTTTAGACAATTTCTTTCTGTTGTATATAACTTGTAGATTTAATGATTTTATTGAAGTGCACAAGTAAAGGCACTTATATATTAAAATGCTATCTGTGCCATAGTAAAAATCTTTCTATTCATTCTAGTTCATTCCATTGATTTGCCTATTATGTGTGTTATTGCCATTTTGTAACAGTACATTTTAACTGTTGTAATTTTAAAATAGTAAATTTTGTTGTTTATTAGATCCTTAGTAGTTTTTCAAAAGTACATTGTCATTATGCACACATTGTTTTATATAGATATGCAAATCAAGTGTTAACTTGTTTTCCAAAAAACTGTATTGTGTGAAAAACTGTATTTTTAAGTGAACTTTTGTTTGAAGTGTATTATGCATATTAGAACACAGTGGATTTTCAGCAAGTGAACACTGTTGTATAATGAATACCCAGAACAAGAAGCAGAATATTTCCAACATTTCAGATACTTCCTTGTGTCCCTTTCTAGTCACTCCCCAAAACCTACCCAAGGATAAATATTATACTGACTTCTAATTATCGATTGATTAATTTTACATGGTTTTGAACTTCATATAACAAAATCATGCAGTATGTATGCTTGTCTCTGGCTTCTTTTGCCCAGCGTTATGTTTGTGAGATTCATCGATATTGCTGTATGTAGCTGTAAATTATTTGTTCTCATTGCTGTGTAGATTATAGTACAATGTATTCATTCTTGTTATGGTGACCATTTTGTTGGCTTTCCAGTTTGTTTGTTTTTTGAGGTAGAGTCTTGCTCTGTCACCCAAGCTGGGGTGCAGTGGCATGATCTTAGCTCACTGCAACCTCCACCTCCTGGGTTCAAGTGATCCTCCTGCCTCAGCAGTAGTTGGGCTTACAGGCACCCACCACCCTGCTTGGCTAATTTTTGTATTTTTAATAGGAACAGGATTTTACCATGTTGGCCAGGCTGGTCTCAAACTCCTGACCTCAAGTGATTCTCCCTCCTTCGCCTCTGAAAGTGCTGGGATTACAGGCATGAGCCACTGCCCCGACCTGGTTTTCTGGTTATCTATTACAAATAGGCCTGCCATGTATCTACCTTTTGATGAAGTTATGTACACATTTCTGTTAGGTATATACTGCAGAGTAGAATTACTGGGGAAATAGGGATATATATATATATATATGTATCAATCTCTTTGGCTTCAGGAGAAACTGCTAAGTAGTTTTCTAAAGGAGTTATACCAATTTACATTATTACTAACAGCATATAAGAATTCCTGTTGTTCTGTATCCTCAACAATTCTTGTTACTGTCTGTCTTTTCATTTTAGCCTTTTGGAGTAAATGTAGTGGTATCATGTTGAGGTTTTATTTTTAATTTTCCTGATAAGAAGTTAAGTATCTGTTTATATGGTTAATTTCTATTGGGTTATCTGTCATATTTTTTAAGGAGTTCCTTTATATACACATATTTTTTGTATGTGAGACACTGTCTCACTTTGTCTCCCAGCATGCAGTGCAGTGGTGCAATCTCAGCTCACTGCAGCCTTGACCTCTCGGGCTCCAGTGATCCTCCCACCTCAGTCCCCCAAGTAGCTGGGACTATAGGCATATGCCATGATGTCCAGCTAATTTTTGTACTTTTTGTAGAGACAGGATTTTGTTATGTTGCCCAGGCTAGTCTAGAACTCCTGAGCTCAAGTGATCTACCCACCTGAACCTCTCAAAGTGCTAGGATTACAGGTGTGAGGCATCATGCCTGGCATAGTCTTTGTACATCTACTCTGTGGCTTGCCACTTTGCTCTCTTAATGGTGTCTTTAGATGAACAGCTCTTTTTTGTTTGTTTGTTTTTTTGTTTTTCCTAGCAAACAATATTCTATCCTAGAACAGAAGATCTTTATGAAATCCAACTGTTTGTGTTGTGGGGAGGTGTGTGTCTTCTGCCTCACTCACCTTTTGGTTACTAATTTCTGTGTCCTTTTAAGAAAATATTGGTTCTGGTTTTAAAATGGCAGTGTAAGATAAGCTGGCTTCTCTTGCCCCAACAAAAAAACAAAAAACAAATATACAATGCCAAGATCTTCTACCAGCAACAGCCCAGAGCTCAAGCTAGATGAGATACTTCCTGGGGCCAAAGAGAGGTGGAAAAACTCTGAGCAGGTGGTAGAAAGAACTACACTTCCATATCTGCGATACCCCTCCCTCCCATTCTGCCAGGCACCTACAATGTAGAAAATCTACCCTCAACTCACAATTTCTATACTGGAAAAAGCAAAATTGAAGTGGTTGCCCAGTTTCCCAACTTTAGTTCCCTGTCAGGAGACTTGTCCTTGCCTTAAGTGATGGGTAGCATTGTGACTGCCTGAAGGGAGAAATATTCCTGAGGACAGGCAGAGATAAACAAGCAAGGCTAGACTGCCATCCCCAGCCCAGAAACTCTGCTCTGTAACTCAGCCAAAGGAAATACTAAATGAGAGTAGTTGTAGGAGGTATATTCCCCTGGCCCCCTGGGTGTGAATTCCTAGCCAGCCTTCCCACACTGCTGTCTTAAACCCTTTGGGACCTCCCTCATCTGGGACAGGCAGTGGTCAAACCATTTACTAGCTCCAAGGTGAACCTGGGTTGAAGGTGCCACCTAGAGCCGAAAAGGAGGCAGCAAACTAGCAATAAAGATTTGCTAAGCTGATATACTCAAAATTCAAAACAAGCTGGACAAAGCAGACTGGAATAAATAATCCTTCAAAGCAAAGACATAGACATATACTCACAAAAAACTACAGCAAACAAAGAACTATGACCTTCCCAAAAGGACAAAAAGCAGAAATTTAGTGACTCTAATGAAGTGGCAATTTGTGAGTTCTTGGACCAAGAGTTCTAAATAGTAGTTTTCAGTAAACTCAGTGATCTCCAAGATAACACAAAAAAAGCAGCTCGGAAATTTATCAGAGAAATTTAACAAAGATATTAAAATAAATTAAAAAGTCAAACAGAAATCTTGGAACTGATAAATACATTTGCTGAACTATATAACTTTTCAGAAGTTCTTAATAGCAGAATGAACCAAGCAGAGGAAAAAGTCAGTGAGCTTTAAGACTGGCTATTTGAAAATATACAGTTGGAGGATAAAAAAATAAAATAGAAGGAAAAGGAATGAAGAACACCTACAAGATACTGAAAATTACCCCCAAAGGACCAAATCGGAGAATGATTAGTGTTTAAGAGAGAGTGAGCATGAGCAAGGGGTAGGAAGCTTATTCAAAGAAATAATAACAGAAAACTTTTCAAGACATGAGAAAGATTTACACATCCAGGTAAAGGAAGTCCTGAGAACACCATACAGATTCAATCCAAATAAGACTACACCAAGACATATAATAATCAAACTCTCAAAGGACAAGGACAAAGAGAAGACCCTGAAAGCGATGAGAGATAAGAAGCAAATAACATATAAAGGAGCTCCAATTCATGGGGCAACAGACTTCTCCACAGAAATCATGCAGGCAAGGAGGGAGTAGAACAACATTTTTAAAGCACTCAACAACAACAAAAAACTGACACCCAAGAATATTTTGTCCTACAAAATTGTCATGCAAATTTGAAGGAGAGAGAAAGTCTAACAAAAGCTGAGGAAATTCACCACCACCGAGACCCTCCTTGCAAGAAATGCTAAAGGGAGTTCTTTGAAAGAAAAAAGCACTAACATGCAAAAGGAAACTTTTTTGTTGTTGTTGTTTTCAATATGTAATTTATTGCATTTTAGGTTTTGGTGTAGACGTGAAGAACAAGCAAGATTGTTGCATAGGTACATACATGGCAGAGTGATTTGCTGCCTTCCTCCCCATCACCTATATCTGGCATTTCTCCCCATGTTATCCCTCCCCAACTCCCCACCCCCTGCTGTCCCTCCCCTATTTTCTCCCAACAGACCCCAATGTGTGATGCTCCCCTCCCTGTGTCCATGTGTTCTCATTGTTTAACACCCGCCTATGAGTGAGAACATGCAGTGTTTGATTTTCTGTTCTTGTGTCAGTTTGCTGAGAATGATGGTTTCCAGGTTCATCCATGTCCTTACATAGGACACAAGCTCATTATTTTTTATGGCTGCATAGTATTCCATGGTGTATATGTGCCACATTTTCCCTGTCCAGTCTATCATCAATGGGCATTTGGGTTGGTTCCAAGTCTTTGCTATTGTAAACAATGATGCAATAAATGTATGTGTGCATGTGTCTTTATAATTGAATGTTTCATAATCCTTTGGGTATATATCCAACTAATGGGACTGCTGAGATAAATGGTATTTCTTGTTCTAGATCTTTGAGGAATCATCACACTGTCTTCCATGATTGTTGAACTATTTTATACTCCAACCAAAAGTGTAAAAGTGTTTCTATTTCTCCACATCTTCTCCAGCATCTGTTGTCGCCTGATTTTTTAATGATCACCATTCTAACTGGCATGAGATAGTCTCTCAGTATGGTTTTGATGTGCATTTCTCTAATGACCAGTGATCATGAGCTTTTTTTCTTAGGTTTGTTGGCTGCATAAATGTCGTCTTTTGAAAAGTGGCTGTTCATATCCTTCACCCACTTTTTGATGGGTTTTTTTTTCTTGTAAATTTGTTTAAGTTCTTTGTAGATTCTGGTTATTAGCCCTTTGTCAGATGGGTAGATTGCAAAAGTTTTTTCCCATTCTGTTGGTTGCTGGTTCACTCTAATGATTGTTTCTTTAGCTGTGCAGAAGCTCGGGAGTTTAATTAGATCCTATTTGTCAATTTTGGCTTTTGTTGCCATTACTTTTGATGTTTTAGTCATGAAGTTCTTGCCCATGCCTGTGTCTTGAATGATTGCCTAGATTTTTTCCTAGGGATTTTATGGTGTTAGGTCTTAATGTTTAAATCGTTAATCCATCTGGAGTTAATTTTTGTGTAAGGGTTCTGGAAGGGATCCAGTTTCAGCTTTCTGCATATGGCTACCCAGTTTGCCAACATGATTTATGAAACAGGGAATCCTTTCCCCATTGCTTGTTTTTGTCAGGTTTGTCAAAGGTCAGATGGTTGTAGATGTGTGGCATTACTTCTGAGGCCTCTGTTCTGTTCCATTGGTCTTTATCTCTGTTTTGGTACCAGTATCATGCTGTTTTGATTACTGTAGCCTTGTAGTATAGTTTGAGGTCAGGTAGTGTGATGCCTCCAACTTTGTTCTTTTTGCTTAGGATTGTCTTGGCTATATGGACTCTCTTTTGGTTCCATATGAAGTTTAAGGTGTTTTTTTCCCCCCAATTCTTTGAAGAAAGTCAATGGTTAGCTTGATGGAGATATGGGACTTTTCAAATTTTTGATTTCTTTTTAAGTCAATTTAGAAAATGTTTGTCTTTCAAGAAAATCACCCATTTATCTAGTCAGTAAAGTTTATTGGTATAAAGTTGTTTATAATATGCTTTTCTTATTCTTGTAATGCTTGTAGCATCTGTATTAAGAACCTTTCTTTCCTGACTTTTATAATTTGTATGTTTAATCAAACTAGCTAGAGGTGTATCAATTTTATTGTTTCTTTTAAAAACTCAGCTTTTGGCTTCATTGATTTTATTTTTCTCAGTTTTATATTTTATATTTCATTGGTGTCTATTTTTAAATTATTTCCTTTATTGTATTTACTTTTAAAAACATAGAATTCACATAACATAAAATTTCTTATCACATAAATATTTATCCTTTTAAAGTATATAGTGCCGTTTTAGTATATTCACAAAACTTTGAATCTTCACCCTGTCCAATTCTAAAATGTTTTCATCTCTGAAAAGTAAATCTCATAACTGTAGTAGTCACTTTCCATTCTCCACTCCTCTAGCCCCTGACAACTGCTAATCTACTTCCTGTCTAAATGGATTTGGCCATGTTGGATATTTCATATCGATGGAATCATAAAATATGTGGTATTTTGTGCTTGGCTTTTTTCACCTAGCATATTGTTTTCAAGGTTCATTCATATTGTAGCACATATGAGCATTTCATTACTTTTTATGAAGGGACAATGATTCTGTTGTATGAATAAACCATGTTTTGTTTATCCATTATTCAATCAAGAGACATTTATGTTGTTTCCACTTTTTGGCTATTATGAATAATGCTGCTATAAACAGTCATGTACAAGTTTTTGTGTAGACATATGTTTTCAGTTCTCTTGAATATATGCCTACCAGTGGAATTGCTGAGTCATCTGATAACTCTGTGTTTATCTTTTGGAGAAACTGCCAAATTGTTTTTCTAAGCTTCTGCACCACTTTACATTCCCACCAGTGAAGTATCAGGATACTGATTTCTCTATGGAGAAATCAGTGATCCTCACCACCACTTGTTAATATCTATTCTTGTGATTATAGCCATCTAAGGCTGTGAAGTAGTATCTCATCATGGTTTTTATTTGTAGTTCCCTAATAATTAATAATGTTAAGTATATTTTTATGTGCTTATTGGCCAGTTGCATATCAGGATCGTTCTCTTGATTATCTTTTCCCTGTGAGTTTAAATCATGTTTTTCTGTTGCTTCATGTATTGGATAATATTAGATTACATTTGGGTATTGTGTATGCTTTGTTGTAGAAAATGTAGATTCAGTTATGCTCTCCCAAAGAGTTTTGATGTTTCAATTTTAGTAGGCAGTAACCTTGTCTGAACCCAAAATTAGCAACATCTGAAATCTCATTTTAGTTGTTTTATCCTTAGCTGGGCTGCTTAGAATCTTTCTCATACATTCAGATTCAGAGGTCAGCTAGATATTTGGGGAGCATTTATACACAAAATGTAGGGCTCTCCTCTCTACATCTTTTATATGATATTTTCCTTCATCACTTTACAGCTGTTATAATTTCCCTGAATTCTAACCTTGAACCAATAAGACTGTAGGTTTCTAACTTTTTTTGAGTATGGCACCAGCTGAAGCTGTAAACAATGGGAAACTCATTCTTCTTCCAAGTGTTGGCCCCCTCTTTACTAACTCTCTACCTGCTTTTTGTCCATTCTCCACTGACTTGTAGTAGTTGTTTTTTAAATATTTGTCCAGAATTTATAGTCATTATGTTAGGTATGGTTGGTCTGATAGTAACTGTTCAGCCATTACCAGAAGCAGAACCTCTCTGTTTATTTTTGTTAACTTGTTTCTTCAAGTGGTGTAGACATTTCCTCCCAATAGCTATTCTACTGGTAGTTGCCTTTAAATTTCTCAGAAATATTTATCAGAAATAGTTTATTTTTCTTATTATAAATTAAAATATCTGTGATTTCCTTGGAATACAAGGCAACTCTTTACTGTTGGTGGAGGATATTGCTCTTCATTCTTTGAATTCAAATATGTCAGTTTATCAAATTATTTCTGTGGATTTCTACCTGTTTTCCTCCCATAGACTTAATTACTCTAGGAATAATGGTTTTAGTGTACTTGGATTCCTTTTGGAAACATAGCAAACTTATTTCACACATAATTTTATAAGCAATTATATTTGCTAGAAACCAAAGGAAGAGTTTTGGGTATTACATAGAATTAATTATATGAAAAGTATAAATATTATATATGGCTATTTTAAGTACATTTGAACTTTTTCATTTCCTTAATAGTAGTATTCTAATAGCACAACCAGTGAATATATAAATGATCTTCTTTTGGGGCCACTGTAACTAAAGGGTTAAGAAGCATTCCTGTTTTCTTCCAAGTTCTGTTCTAGTAGAAACTACTTATTCATTTCCTACCTTTAAGAGTCTTCATTGAACTTGAAAAAGTACCAGGGTGGATTTGTGGTTCAATCTTAAATAGAATATAGAAATAATTGTCCATGCATTTAAAAAAAAATTTATAAAATACAAAATTTCTCATTTCCTTCCCACTTGCCTTTAGGGTTCCATTAACTTCAAATGATGATGAAGATGATGATAAAGAGAAAATGCAGTGTGACAATAATATTAAATCAAAGACATTACCTGATATTTCCTCAAGATCAACAATACAACCTTTATCAACTCCAGATAATTTGGAAGTGTTATTTCTTAAGGAAAATAATCAGAATGTATGTTCTTCAGATGATTCAGAACATATTTCTTCTATAGTTGATGTACATCCCAGAGGTGAGATTGTTTTAAAAATTCATTTTGAGTATTTGTATTAAATAGTTACATTCATCTGATATTCTTCCTGAGGAGAACGATGTATAACAGTTAGTAAGTTAGATCACTTATGTTACAGATTTGCTAACTTCTGCCATTTAAAACTGCTGGTGGCAAATTTAACTTAAAGTAAATATGCTGACAAACATCAGATCTGCAGTGGCTTTATGCGGTTACTCTGGAGCACTGTTTAGGAATGAATGGACCTAATGAGCTTTTCTTGGTAGCTTATGATTTGAAATATACCATATTTTTACTTAGTTTCACCCTCTTTTTTCATAGATATGAAAGTTGGGGGCCTAGATAGGTATAGAGACTCTTTCAAGATCATCACCAGTTAATTACTGGCAAGGCAAAAACTTGAGCCTGGGTAATAGTTGAGCAAGAAGAAAGATGGCACTTATGTTTTATTTACATAGTATTCCTAAATGATAATCTGTAGTATAATCTAGTGCTTACAGATTTGCCATAGATTTTCAGACTGGGATGTGGAACCATAGCAATGTTGAATTTAGAACTTAGGATTATTTTTACTTTCTGAAAGTGTGTGTGTATGTATACGTATATAATATATATACACACATATATATAGTATACATATAATGTATACAGTATACATATATACATGTTTGTATGTATTTACACACATACACACATATATTAATATATGGATATATAATTTATATAAATTTTAGCTGCCTGCTGATAGTCTTTGATAGTAATCCTTTTCAGAGTTATCACTATTATTTGGATTCACTTGCTGGCCTCTTTTCACTCTAAAAATATATGCTAACGGCTCTACTGTTGGCTTACTCCACTCTACTGTTGGGGCTGAGGCAGCCATTCTCAGTATATATTTTCCATAGATACAAATGTAAAATGTGACTTATGAGTACCCATCATTTCTAACTTATTTTCTTAAAAACATGGATTCTTAGTAGTATTAGGATATGAGCAGAACACATTGTCAGAAATTATATCTGTGAAACAGCTTGATTTCTAATCTAATTGTTTAAAGTAACTTATTACTTATTTCACTACTTATTCCTAGTTTTGTTTTCCTTTTCTTAATAGAAAGTTATTCCCACTCAGACCAAAGTTCTAAGAGTTCTCTAATGCATGAGATGGGAAATGCCCAATCAATTGACCACAGATGGGAGAAACCATCTCCTAATAATGTAACTGAAAGGAAGAAGCGTGGGTCATCTTGGGAATCAAATAATCTTTCTGCAGACATTCCATGTACAACAGTTTTAGATCAGCAGTGCATTTCAAGTCCAGAATTAAATTGCCATAATGAGATAAATGGTCATGCTAATGAAACAAATACTGAAATGCAAATAAATAAACAGGATCTTCCTGGCTTATCTTCTGAGTCTGCCAGTGAACCTAATGCAGAACGTATGAATCCAGTTGAGAATGATGATGACCTTCAATTGCAGAAAACTGTGTATGATGCTGACATGGATTTAACTGCTAGTGAAGTCAGCAAAATTGTAACAGTATCAACAGGCATTAAAAAGAAAAGTAATAAAAAAACAAATGAATGTGGAATGAAAACTTTCAGAAAAGTAAAAAATTCAAGCTCTGAGAAAAAGAGAGAAGGATCAAAGAAACAGTCTAAAAATCATTCAGATGTGGCTATTGGGGAAAAGATTGAAAACAGGCCAGAAAGATCTGATGTCCTGGATGACAAAAGAGATGTAGAAGATCCAGGTTTTATTTTTGATCCTGAACAGCTGGCTCAGGTGAATGAGCTGAAGAAAATGACCCTTCATACAGGCTTTGAACAAGATGACAGAGAAAATGTACAGTGTAATAAAAAGAACAAAAGAATAACAAATGAGCAAGAAGAAACATACTTTTTCCCCCAAAGTTCAGATAAACTTCACCAGGAGAGTAAATTTTGTAAGGGACAGAATTCCCTAACTTGTAATAAAAGTAAAGCTTCTAGACAGACATTTGTGATTCACAAATTAGAAAAAGATAACTTACTCACAAACCAAAAGGATAAAGTAACCATTTGTGAAAACCTAGATGCCACAAATGAATTTCAAACAGCCAATTGTTCCACCAAAGATAATGGAAATTTGTTTGATTATGGGACCCAGAATATATTGGATTCAAAAAAATATGTCACTGATATACAACATTCTGAGCAAAATGAACCAAACAGTAATAAGGGTAGAAAGAAAGTAAACCGGAAGACAGAAATAATTTCTGGAATGAACCACATGTATGAGGATAATCATAAAGATGTGCATGGCCTAAAAAAAGATAATTTTTTCTTCGAAACCCAAGAGGATAAAGAACCTATCACTGAAAACATAGAAGTTTCCAAAGAGCTTCAAATCCCAGCTCTTTTTACCGGAGACAATGGAAATCTGTTTGACTATAGGACCCAGAATGTGTTGAGTTTGCAAAAGCAGATCACTGATATGTACGCTGTTCAGCAAAATGAATCAAAAGTTAATAAGAAGCTTAGGCAGAAAGTAAATCGGAAAACAGAAATAATTTCTGAAGTGAATTATTTAGATAATGACAAAAGTATGGATTACACAGTTAAAAGTCACTCACTCTTTTTAACTCAAAAAGATAAGGAAATTATCCCTGGAAACCTAGAAGACCCAAGTGAGTTTGAAACACCTGTTCTTTCTACCAAATGTAGTGGAAACCTCTATGATTATGAGATTCAGAATGTTTTGGGGGTGAAACAACATGTCCATGATATACAACCTGCTTGTCAAAATGATTCAAAAATAGGTAAGAAGCCTGGACTAAATGTGTATCAAAAGTCGGAAATAATTTCTGAAACCATCCAGATATATGAGAATGATGACAAAGGTGTACATGACCTAGGAAAAGATAACTTCTTTTCACTAACCCCAAAGGATAAAGAAACTATTTCTGAAAACCTACAAATCACAAGTGAATTTCAAACAGCTGATCTTGTTATCAAAGATAATGGAAATTTATGTGATTATGACACCCAGAATATATTGGATTTGAAAACTCATGTCACTGATAGAAAATCTGCTGAGCAAAATGAATCAAAAATAAATAAGGAGCTTAGGAATAAAGTGAATCGGAAGACAGAAATAGTTTATGAAATGAACCAGATATATGAGAATAATGATAAAGATGTACTTGTCCAAGAAGGCTATACCAAAGATCTTGATTTTAAAATAATTAAATCTAAACAAAAACTTGAATGCCAAGACATTATCAATGAACACTATATGGAAATCAACAGTAAGGAAAAGGAAAGTTGTAATCAAATTCCAGATTCCTGCAAAGTAGTTAAAAAGCGTAAGAAAGAGTCATCATGCAAGACAAAGAACATTTTGACAAAAGGTAAGAACAAACGTGCTTCACAGTTAACAGAATCTTCACAGACATCTGTCTCCTTAGAATCTGATTTAAAATGTATTACTAGTGAAGCATATTCTGATCCAGGAAACCCAGTTGAACTATGTAAGACTCAGAAGCAAAGCACTACCACTTTGAATAAAAAAAGAGATACCCTTTTTGTGGAAAAAATGAAAGAAGGAGAGTGTCAGGTTAAAAAAGTAAAAAAAATTACATCTAAGTCAAAGAAAAGAAAGACCTCCATAGATCCTTCTCCAGTGAGCCATGAAATAATGGAAAGAATACTCAACACCATTCAGGGAAAGTCTATTGGATCGGAACAAGCAGATAAGGAAAACAATTTGGAGAATGAGAAAACAGTCAAAAATAAGCCAGACTTTTACACAAAGGCATTGAAATCTTTGTCTGAGATATATTCACCTGACATACAAGATTCTTCTTTTGACAGTGTTCATGAAGGTTTAGTACCTTTGAGTATTTCTTCTAGTAAAAATGTGATAGTAAAAGAAAATTTTGCCATGGAATGCTCACCAGCCTTTCAAGTAAGTGATGACGTGCATGAGAAGATGAACAAGATGAAATTTGAAGTCAACCGGAGAACCCAAAACTCAGGAGTAGGTAGGTTAATAACCATTATGAAATGATAAAGTTTTAGAAGTGTTTTGGTTTTTGTTTTTGTTTTTCACTTAGCCAATGAAGTATTTTCTAACTGGTATTTTTCTAGAATTTAAAAACAATATATAACTAAGTACATGATCCATAGAAATAGCATGTAGGAATAAAGAACGTTTCATACTTTGGGAAAATAACAGTGAGAGTATCTTGGACATTTGCAACTGCAAACAGATGTGGCCTTTACCACAAACTTGCCTAATAATGACCTTAGGCAAATAATTTCCTTTTTCATACATTTGAAGGAAAATGAATGTTTTAAATGTGTATAATAATGAATTACACAGGTTTTATTTTACTGAAGACAGTTGCATGTTTCTTGAGGGTGAGACTCTTTCTCCATTCAATAGCATATATTTAATGTGATCAAACCCTTATTCTAGGTGTTATAGAGGATTGAGAAATAAACAATGTCAACCTCCTTTCCTCACATTCCATGTATGTAACCATGGTGAAAAGGAATAAATGATTCTTTAATAAAAAGCACATACATTATGCTAAGGGATATAATGGGGAGTAATGTTAACTAGAGAAATCTTCAAAAGCATCCCTAAATAGGTAGCATTTTAGGCCCTAAAGGATAAGTAAGTTTTTTTTTTTTTTTTTTTTTTTTTTTTTTTGGAGACAGAGTCTTACTCTGTCACCAGGCACCAGGCTGGAATGCAATGGCGTGACCTCGGCTCACTGCAACCTCTGCCTCCCGGGTTCAAGCTATTCTCCTGTCTCAGCCTCCCAAGTAGCTGGGACTACAGGTGCGCACCACCAAGCCCAGCTAATTTTTTTGTATTTTTAGTAGAGACAGGATTTCACCATGTTGGCCAGGGTGGTCTCGATCTCTTGACCTCGTGATCTGCCCGCCTCGGCCTCCCAAAGTGCTGGGATTACAGGCATGAGCCACTGCGCCTGGCCAGGTAAGTAAGATTTTTACCTGTAGTATTTATTTTTTATTTTCCCCCAGTTATTAAAATAATACTCACTGCAGAAAGTCAAAAGTTAGAGTATCAGAAAAGGGGAGGGGAAAAAATTACCTGGGAGAACTTTAGTCCCTTTACCATGTGCATACAGACCCAAATCTACAGATTATTAAATATATGTTTGACGTCATACTATATATAACATTACTCATCCCATTTTTTTCCCTTAACAGTAGATCCTAAGAATGTTATTTTGCCATTAGAAATTCTGTAACATTAAACATTTCTATACCAATTAAAAATTTTTACTGGGAACCTATTATTTCAATGTATGTGTATAGATCCCTAGGGTTTTGGTGAGTAAGTCAATTCCAGGTAAAAAACACACTGAAGCAAAAGAATTATAAAGGTCCAGAGTTGCAGGATCTGTTAGAGTACTGGTGAGACATTTTTCATTTCTGTGCTCCTCATGGTGCCTTTCACAAAGAGTGATCACTGGCAGATACGTTGAATGAATGTGCAGTAATTTGTGTGCTTCCATAAAAAGAGTTGAACTAGGATGAACTTTTGGGAGCCACATGTGATTTCAGAATAAAAAAGTTGCAGTCTAGTTTGACAGTTTGTTTCAAATGTTAGTCTCTTTCCTTTCCAAATTGAATCAAGATTTAAAATTTGTTGCAGTGATTTCTATATACTTTAAAAAATATTTGTGAAAAATAATATTCCTTTCAGGTGATAGACCGTTACAGGACTTGACAAATACCAGTTTTGTTTTAAGTAACACTGCTGAATCTGAAAGTAAGTCAGCAGATCTATCTTCAGAATGGACAAGCAGAAGAAGAAGGTGTGCTCCTTTCCATTTGAAAGAGCCAAGCCTCAAAGAGTAAGTATTTCAAGTATTTTAGTGTGCCATTATAAAATATAGCCTTAAAAAAAATTCTGCCTGAATCAGTATCTGAGCACTTCTGATAATTCAGTAAAGCATATATTATTGATATGTAACAACCACAGTGTGATTTGGGTAAGATTTGAAGAAATATATCCTTTGAACAGTCTATTTTTGGGGGGTTGGAGTATTGTCTGAATTTAAATTGATTTACTTTTGGTTGGTTCCCAGTTCTGTCATATTTTAAATTGTAACCTGATAATTATAATTTTTAAAATTCATGGCTGTGATTTCAAAGCCATTTTTTAATCTGTTAGCCCATTTGCTTATTTCCTACATTGTTCCCTAGAAGTCAGAGTGGTTTATGTGTCCTTTACTCTCAAAGAATAACAGTCCTTTCTCTTTGTTTTTGTAAATTTCAAACATACTCCAACAAACAGAATAGTGCCCTCCTCCAATTTATCCTCAGGTTCAACAGTTATTAACACTTTGTCATATTTACTTCATCTATCCTTTTTGTTATATTTCAGAGTCTCAAATATTGAGTCATTTGATTCTTAAAACACTTCTACATATCTCTCTCTAAAAAGCAAGAACTTAACAAAGTTCTTAGCAAAACTAGGCAACAGTGATCACATCTAACAAAAAAGAATGATTCTCATGGGTATTTTAAAACAATAACCACCAGATGATAGAATATAAGGGAGGGTAAAAGAAGAAAATTAAAAGTCAAATTAAGGACCAAGGGGCCTGTCTTTCTCTCTCTCTCTCTCTCTCTCTCTCTCTCTCTTTCTTTCTCTCTCTGTCTCTGTCCCTCTCTGCTATTGAGATATAGTTCATACAATTTAAACTGTACAATTTAGGCCAGACATGGTAGCTCACACATGTAATACCGGCACTATGGTAGGCTGAGGCGGGTGGATTGCTTGAGGCCAGGAGTTTGAGACAGTCTGGCCAACATGGTGAAACCCCATCTCTACTAAAAATACAAAAGGTAGCCAGGAATGATGGCATGCACCTGTAGTCCCAGCTGCTCGGGAGGTTGAGGCAGGGGAATCACCTTGAACCCAGAGGTGGATGTTGCAGTGAGCTGAGATGACACTACTGCACTCTAACCTGGGTGACAGGGTAAGACTCTATCTCAAAAAAGTGTACAACAAATATATATTTATAGATATGTGCAACCATTACCACAGTCAATTTTAGAACATTTCTTTACTTAAAAAGAAACCCTGTACCCTTTAGTTACACTTTCCTATCCCTCATTTCTAGGCAACCACTATTCTATTTCTTGTCTCTCTAAATTTCCCTGTTCTACACATTTCATATGAATGAAATAATAGAATATGTGGTCTTTGCAACTGGCTTCTTTCACCCAGCATATTTTAAAGGTTTTTTCATATTGTAGCGTGTATCAGTATTTCATTCATTTTTATGACTGAATACTATTCCATTGTGTAGATATACCACATTTTGTTTATCCATTTGTCCTTTGATGGACAATTGGATTGTTTTCATCTTTTGGCTATTATGAATATTCTACTATGAACATTCATTTGCAGGGTTTTGTGTGTAAAGTTCCCCGCCGTCCTTGGATATATCCCTAGAAGTGGAATTGCTAAGTCTGTTAATTGTTTGAGGAACTGCCAAGTTGTTTCAAAAGCTGCTGTGCCATTTTACATTCTTACCAACAAATGATGATTTTTAAAAATTTCTCCTTATCCTTATGAACATTTGTTTTTATATGACTTTGATTCTGGCCATCCTATTGGCATGAAGTGATAATGCATTGTGGTTTTCATTTGCAATTCCCTGATAACTAATTATGTTGAGCATCTTTTTGTGTGCTTCCTGGCCATCTGTATATCTTCCTGGAGAAATGGCCTGTTGAGATCCTTTGCCCACTTTTCAGTTGAGTCATTTGTCTTTTAATGAGTTGTAAGTTAAACTTTTAATTTTGAATAATTTTAGATTTTCAGTAAAGTTATAAAAATAGTACAAAGGTCTCCCATATGGTCCTCTCCCAGCATTCCTTAATTTTAATGTCTTATGTGCCCACAGTACAATTATCAAAACTAAAGAATTAGCATTGGTACAGTACTATTAACAAACTATGGACTTTCACTAACATCGCTTTCTGTTTCAGAATTCTGTCTAGAGTCCCACATTGCATTTAGTTGTTGTTTCTCCTAAGCATCCTCCACCTATGACAGTTCCTCAGTTATTTTCTTTCTTTCTGCCTTGGGCACCTTTGAAGACTACTAGTCAGTTTATTTTATAGAATATCTTTTGGTTTGGGTGTGTCTGATGTTTTCTCATGATTACAATGCAGTTGTGCTTTTTTGGTAAATATTCCACAGAAATTATAAGTTGCAACTATGAGTTGCAAATTATATCTTGCATCATATCATATACATGATGTCAACATGTTTCATTACTAGTCATGTTACCCTTGATTCCTTGGTTAAGGTGGTGTCTGCTGGGTTTTTTAACTGTGAAGTCACAGTCTTTTCCTCCATAGTTGATGAACATGGAGGGAAATACTCATGAACATGGGAGGGAGATACTTTGAGTCTATATGTTCCATTTCTCAAACTTTCACCCACGAATTTGAGCATCCATTGGTGGATCTTGCCTGCAACATTTACAACTGTGGATACTACTAGTAGTGATTTTCTGTTTCTCCCTTTCCTTCTACATTAATTGGAATTTATCTGTAAGGAAGAGTTGTCTTTTTCTCGCTCTATTTTCATGTATCATGGATATCTCTTTTGTTCTATAGATGAAAGTCCAATACTATCAATATTTATTTTGTTGCTCAAGATATTCCAACTTTGATCATTAAGAGTTCCTTCAGGTTGGCTTCTGTGTCCTTTTGACATGACTTCATGCTATTTGGAGCACTTTCTTACTTTCTGACACACAGGATGTTCCAGGCTCATCCTAGTGAAAAGTGGCAGAATCAGTCACTCCTTTGAGAAGCCTGGTTCCCTTAGAGAATTTTGCTTAGAAACTGAGATCTGAGCACTAGGTATGCACATTGTTTATACTGTGTTGATTTAGTTATCTATTACTCAATAACAATATTACCTTAAACCTAGTGGCTTAAAGTAGCAATCTGGACAGAGTTTAATTGGGTATTCTGCTTAGGGTATGATTAAAGCTGCACTGAAGGTATTGTCCAGGCTGGTTCTCATCTGGAGGCTGTACTGGGAAAGAATCTGCTTCCAAGTCACACAGGTTGTTGGCAGAATTCATTTCCTTGTGGTTCTGGACAGAAGGCCTCGTCTTCTTGCTGTTGGCTAGAAGATGTGCTTAGCTTCTTGACGTACGGCCTCCTTCCCAGGATGGCCACTTACTTCAAAGCCAGCTATGAGAATCCCTAGAGCAAGTCCTCTAGCAAGATGGAGCCTTACATAACAAAATGTCATCTCAGAAATGAGACATCCCATCACCTTTGCCAGTAATCTACTTCTTTATTGTAGAGGCTTTGTAGTATGTTTTATTGTCTGGTAAGGCTAGTAGCCTCTCATAGATTTTCTTTTTCATTGTTTCCCTCACTGTTGTTGAATGTTTGTTGTTCCATATGAACCTTAGGATGGTGTTGACTTGTCTAGCTCAGAGTTTCATAATCTTGTCACTGTTGACATTTTGGGCTAGATATTTCTCTCTTACTGGAGGCTGTCCTGTGCATTGTAGAATGTTTAGTGGTATCCCTGATCTCCATCTACCGATGTCAGTAGCACCTTCACATTTACAACCAAAAATGTCTCCAGATGTTGCGAAATTTCAACTAGTAGGCAAAATCATCCTGAGTTGAAAACCACTAGTCTAGCTTGTTTTTATTGGGATTGTACTGAATTTCTGCATTAATTTAGGGAGTTAATCTTAAATTAATTGAAAACAATAATGGAGTCGCTCTGTCCAAGAACAGAGGATATCTGTTTTTTCAAGTCATCTTCTGTGTCTGGAAGTATTTAGAAGTGCTTGTGTTTAGATTTTTCTTACATAGGTTTTGTACTTATTTTGTTAAATTTATTTATAAGTATTTAGTTCTCTTTGTTGCTATTACATATGGACATGTAACTCATGCCCAATGTTGTTCATATATATGAAAATGGTTGAATTTTGTATCAGTTTATTATGTCTTGCTACTTACTAAACTCTGTTATTCTCTTATCTCACAATTGTCTCGAGTTCTCTAGGTATACTATGGTATCATCTAAAAATAGAGATAGTTTTACTTCGTTACCCCTTTGTATGCCTCTTACTGTTTTTCTATTAGCATTGACTATTAACTCAGGCACAATATTAAATAGTAGCAAGAATAGTAGGCATGCTTGCCTTGTTCCTGATTTTAATTGAAATACGTCTATTGAAGAATTTTTTTTTTTTTTGAGACGGAGTTTCGCTCTTGTTACCCAGGCTGGAGTGCAATGGCGCGATCTCGGCTCACCACAACCTCTGCCTCCTGGGTTCAAGCAATTCTCCTGCCTCAGCCTCCCGAGTAGCTAGGACTACAGGCGTGCGCCACCATGCCCAGCTAATTTTTTGTATTTTTAGTAGAGGCAGGGTTTCACCATGTTGACCAGATGGTCTTGATCTCTTGACCTCGTGATCCACCCGCCTTGGCCTCCCAAAGTGCTGGGATTACAGGCGTGAGCCACCGTGCCCAGCCTTATTGAAGAATTTTTGTCTCTCCATTAAATAAAATACTTGCTTTAGGATTAAGATATGTACGTAATTTACTAAGAAAATCCCGCTTGATGCCTATTGAGTGTTTTTATCATGAATGATTGTTGAATATTGTCAAAGGCTTGTTCAACATTTATGGAGACAATCATATACTTTATTTCCTTACATTTATTAACATGGTGTCTGTTGATGAGTTTTCTAGTACCCAACTAACCTTGCTTTCCTGGAATAAATCTCACTTGGTCATGTTTTTCATAATGTGATGTCGAATCGAGTTTGCTAAAATATTTTGTTTAGAATTTTTATAGCAACATGCATAATTGACATCGTTCTATATTTATCTGTCTTTGAATTGTCTTTATCTGGCCTAGATATCATGTTAAGGGAATCAAGAAAGTCACCTTCTTGGTTCCTTTAATAAAATAATTTATAGAGCATTATAATTTATGTTTATAATTATTTGTATGTTATATACTTATATAATTTTAAAACGTTGGGACCCTCTGGTTTTTGAAAGTTTGTTAGCATCCCCCACTGAAATCATCTGGACCTAGTATTGTTTTGTGTGGGGTAGTTCCTTAATAACACTGACTATTTTTTGTGTGTGTAAAAATTAGTCTGTTTAAGCTTTTTGGCTCTTATGGGGTTATTTTTGTTATTTGTATTTTCATAGGAAATTGTCCATTTCATCTAAGTTTTCAAATTATTTGCATAAAAGTCTGCAAATTATCTTTTGTGAATTGGACATGTAAATGAATTTTAAATATCTTTTTTCCCATAATTATTCTACCTGTATCATTTATTATCTTTTGTGTTTGTTCTTTTTCTCTTTTTCTTAATCAAGTTAGAGAGTAGTTTATTTATTTTATTAATTTTTCAAAAAAATCAGGACTTTGATTTACTAATTGGATCTATTTTTCTGTTCTCTACTTCACTGATTTCTGCTTTATATTTGTTGTTTTCTTCTTTGTGTTTTCTTTGATTTGCTTTATTGTTGTTGTTTCCTCATTTCTGGAGCAGGGAATTCAGTTTATTATTTTTATTCTTTCATTTATGTGGATAACAGTGTTTTATGGCCAGGCATAGTGGCTCACACCTGTAATCCCAACGCTGGGAGGCTGAAGTGAGAGGATCACTTTAGCCCAAGAGTCCAAGACCAGCCTGGGCAACGCAGGGAGACCCTCACTCTACAAAAAATTTAAAAATCAGCCAGGCATTTTGGCATGTATCTGTAGTCCCAGCTGCTACTAGAGAGGATGAGGTGAGAGGATAGTTTAGGCCTGGGAAGTCGAGACTGCAATGAGCCATGATTGTGCCACTGCACAGACAAAGATCTTGACTCAAAAAATTAAAAATAAAGATAAATAAACACACACAAAAAAATTTTTTTAAGTGTTTTGTACAATGTTTTTCTCTGATCAGTGCTTTCAGTTTATCTTGATTCTGACACATAGTGTTTTCATTGTTATTTTTAAGTATCTCCTTTTATTCAGAAATTATTTATTAGGAGATTTTAAAATTTCCAGGTGGATGGACCTTTCTTGTTTTTTGTTTTTATTTGTAAATGTAGTTTTATTGCATTTTGGTCACATTATTTATTGTAATATTTTTGCTTTATGGAAATTGCCAGTATTTTTGTGTGTGTGTGACCTACTTATAGAATCAGTACTTATAACTGTGCTTTGAGTACTTGAGAAAAATGTGTATTCTCCGTAATCAGGATCTAAAGTTTGATATATATCCCTAAGACTTACTGTGTTTATTATGTTGCTTAGATCTTCTGTCTCTTTTCTTTTTTGTCCACTTGATCTGTTTTGTACTAAGGTTATACTAAGAGTGGTATATTAAAATCTACCATGTCCTGTGTTTCCATGTATCTCCTGTAGTTTTTGCTTCAGAAAGGTGGTTGCTCTGCTTTTTGCTATGTTAACATCATAATTATTACACATTCATTTTGGATTGTCACCTTTATTATATTAAAAGTATCCTCATTTGTCATGTTCAGTGCTCTGGGACTTAAGAGATAAAGACTTTAAAAACATATTTATGTGACCTTCCTGATAACTCCTGCCACTCCTCTCTTCAATACCTATGATGATCATTCCATAATAGCAAGCAGCTTTAATTAGGATCTACTTTCATGGGACCTACTAGAAGCTGTGATATGCCTAGTGCATACTGTTTCCAATCCAAAAAAGAAGGAAGAAAACAAAAGTGGCAACTGGTCATCACTCAGAATTTATACTGAATGTTGTGATTTTTGCTTTTGAAAATTATACCAGCTAAGCTGTTTAGCAAATAATCTGCATACACTGTACATGTAAACTAAAATAGAATACTATTTCGTGATAGCATTTTGTAAAGAAAGGAGTGATTAATATAATTTGTAAAGAAAGGAGTGATTAATACAACTTGTAAAGAAAGGAGTGATTAGGCCGGGCGCGGTGGCTCAAGCCTGTAATCCCAGCACTTTGGGAGGCCGAGGCGGGTGGATCACGAGGTCGAGAGATCGAGACCATCCTGGTCAACATGGTGAAACCCCGTCTCTACTAAAAATACAAAAAAATTAGCTGGGCATGGTGGCGTGTGCCTGTAATCCCAGCTACTCAGGAGGCTGAGGCAGCAGAATTGCCTGAACCCAGGAGGCGGAGGTTGCGGTGAGCCGAGATCGTGCCATTGCACTCTAGCCTGGATAACAAGAGTGAAACTCTGCCTCAAAAAAAAAAAAAAAAAAAAAAAAAGGAGTGATTAATACAATTCAGGATAGTGGTTCCTTTCTGGGGGAGGAGAGGGATGTGATCAGAAAGAGGCACACTGGAGGTGTGGTAATATTTTGTTTCTTAACCTGGGTGGTAGGAACATGAACACTTACTTTGTTTTTAAATTGTATATTTTCATATATTCTTAAATATATGCTAAATTTTTAATAAAAGAACTATGTAGTAAACACATAATGTATAAAATCTATGTTGATTATTTTTTCTTAAATCTTTGAGATAAATTATTTGAAATACTCTGATAATGGGAACTATAAGATTTAAGAAAAATTAGAGTATTTTAAATATTTAGCAAAGCTTGTGGTTTAAGGAAACTTCTTTACTATGATGAAACAATTTTCTTCTCCAACCTTCACAGCAAAAGTATTAATTTTGGGCTATTATTAATCTTCCTTTTTTTCTACTTTGCAGCAAGATGAGAAGATGAAATGAATTTATGGATTCTGGCTTTTCTGAATTTTCAAGGCATAAGGAATCAAAACAAAATAACTACTATCAAGAAGATGAAATGCTTGATGAAAAGCTTTTTTTTTTTTTTTTTTGGTCTTTCATGGAGTGTTGATTTGTCCATTCTTATGTTTGTTAATATATATGCATAAAATAGCTATTTTATAGCATTAAACTTTTCAAATCATTTTGGTCTTCATGTAATTTATGTTCCTGTTTATTTAAGCTTCTTTTTATCTAATAGCCCAAAGGTAAAAAGAAGCTATTAGCTAAAAAGAAGCTTAAGTAAACAAGAACTTTAATTACCAGATGTAACCACACAATAGCTATTAACCTTTTAACCAAATAAAATGTGTTAATAAATACCTTTGCATTGGTTATCTTGTATACCAGGCTGTCTTGTTTGCTCTGTTTTTAACCTATTCAATACATGTGGACATCTAAAAGGGTTTAAAAGCCACCTCCTGCCCTGGCCTGTTTTCTCTCTCCCTTCATTCTTCTAATTTTCAGAAATACGTGTTGAATGTCAGCTTCCGTATTACTTCTATTATATGTAATCTGATGACTTAGAGGAGGAGATTAACCTTTCAGACTCTTTCAAATTTGGTTTTTATAACTTTGTTTCAAACATCACTTAGTCTTCCAGTAATAAGAAGTAATAAATCCTGTTCATATCTGAGATCAGTACACAGCTTATTGGATTCAAATGACTACTCAAACTCTATTCTACCTAGATGGAAAACTTTTTTAGACAATATCTGACCACTAAAGGGGTGAGCCCGGAAATCTGCATCTTAAATGCTTCAGGTAAGTCTGTCCAAGGATTGTCCTAGTACCACACTTTGAGAGACTGCAGTAGGGGTACAGAATGCTGTAGGGGTATAGTCAATAGCTCTAGTGAAAGATGGATGGTTTTATTCAAATAATCCCAGTTGATGAATAAAGAAGAAGTGCTAGAATTAGAAAAATTGCAACCGCTTACTAAAACTACTGCTCAGACAATGCTCAGCAATGAATGTAAAGCAATTAGGTGAAATGTTGATGGAGACATTTGTGGGAAGCTGTGAGCACAGGCCAAATCCTGGGGCCAAGAGGGCCCAGGTGCCGCTTGTGGAAGGCTCAAGTCCTGATGATTCAGGTCCAGCCCGTGGATGGCACGAGGCGGCACGGGGCTGGTAGCGGCACGAGGCACACCAGGCCGGAATTTTCCAACTGCAAGCTTCCTTTGCCCCACCTCCCTGCCTGGCTTATTTAAGCTGTGAGCTCAGCAACAATAAACGAGACTTGATCAGACTCCTGTCTTGTCTCCATTTCTCGCGTCTCCTGCCCATCCATCCCCACTCCCTCCCTTCGGGGCCCCTGTTGTCGTCCTGCAGGTCGGGACAGTTTGGCGCCCGAACAGGGACTCGAAGTACGAGGGACACAGTGAGGGACATCGTCGAAGCCGGCCGGATTGAAGGAAGAAATCCAGAGGAGGAGTCACCGCGGGAACCTGCTGCGGCCTTGCTCTCTGGTAAGAGGACGACGATATTATGGGTCAGGAAATTAGTAAGCATGAGTTGTTTGTAGAAGAATTAAGCATAGCATTAAAGGCGCGAGGAGTAAAGGTGAAAGTAAACCGGTTAATTAAATATTTTGATTATATTAAGGATGTTTGTCCCTGGTTCCCTCAAGAAGGAACCATAGATCAAAGATGTTGGAAAAGAGTAGGGGACGCCCTAAAAAATTATCGTGATGCTTTTGGGCTTCAAAAGGTCCCTGTAATTGCCTTCTCATACTGGAATCTGATAAATTAGGTCATTACCCGAAAACATGACGATCCAGTCATTGCTAATCTCATAACCCAGGGGGAAACTTGCCTGAGAGACTCATGTAAAAATTTGTCCGATAAAAGTCCCCCCTTTAAAGAAAATTCTTTGGTTTTGGAGAAACCAGAACCCAAAGAGAGCAAGAAAAAAAAAAAAAAAAGTCAGGGGAAGCTGACTTAATGTCATTCAATGGCAACTCTGGTAAAGAGGAACAGAAACCCGCGGAGAGCGGTGGGTCTGTGTGCTCCTTAGAGGAATTTGCTGAACGTGTAGCCGCAGGCCTTAAACAAAAATTAGCTAACCCAAAATATCGAAAGAGGATTGTATGGCTAGCCAGTAGAGCCAATAATTCAGAGGACGCTATCGACTCAAAAGGTGCAACTCAGGCTAGACTGTTTAAAAACCCTCAATGATTTTCAAAAATTATTAGACATAAACTGGCTGTTACCTTATCTAAAATTATGCAAAGCTGATCTCAAGCCCCTATACGATACATTGGTAGGAGATCCCAGTCCTACTTCTTTAAGACAACTCACCCCTGAAGCAAAATCAGCTATCAATTTAGTTAACCAAGCTATCAATAACCAAACCATCACCTTTTTCGATATTGACAAACCACTCCAATTTATTATATGTCATACCTCATTATCTCCCACAGCTGTGTTCTGGCAAACTGCTCCACTTATGTGGATCCATCTTCCTAATATGCCCACTAAAGTCATTGAACCTTACTACCTTATGGTAGCCAGTCTAATTACCAAAGGAAGAACCCTAGGAAAGGAATATTTCGGACAGGAACCTAACAACATTGTCCAACCTTATACCAAACAGCAGATCCATTGGCTCATGCAAAATACTGAAGCATGGCCCATTGCGCTTGCCTCTTATACTGGCAACCTCAATAATCATTATCCTCCCAATAAGCTTCTAGATTTTGCTAACAGACATGATTTCGTTTTTCCTAAAAATACCAGACTTCATCCTCTTCCAAATGGAATTACCATTTTCACTGATGGGTCATCCACAGGGCTTGCAGCCTTTGTTACCCCAAACCAAACTATCAGCTTTCAATCCCAATCTTCATCTGCCCAATTAGCAGAGCTACATGCAGTTATAGCTGCATTTTCCATGTTTCCCAATGATCCTCTCAATATCTATACAGACAGCGCATACATTGCTACCTCTGTCCCAAAGTCAGAAACAGCCCCATTCATAAAACACACCTCAACTGCTGCAAAACTATTTTCTCAACTACAAAAGCTATTAATTTCCAGAACACAACCTTTCTACATTGGACATTTACGTGCTCATTCAGGCTTACCTGGTCCATTGGCCTCTGGAAACGCCAAGGCAGACCTAGCCACCCGTGTTTTGTTAGTTCAACTTCCTAACACCCCTCTAGCTCAAGCACAACATTCGCACAACTTGCATCATCTTAATGCTCAATCCTTAAGACTACTCCATCACATAACTAGAGAACAAGCCCGACAAATAGTAAAGTCCTGCACACAATGTGCACCTCACTTACCGGTCCCACATCTTGGAGTTAACCCTCGAGGCCTCCTACCTAACGCCCTTTGGCAAATGGATGTCACCCACATCCCAGAATTTGGAAATCTTAAATACGTTCATGTTTGCATTGATACTTGTAGTGGATATATCTTTGCCACTTTACAAACCGGAGAAGCCACAAAACATGTTATTGCTCATCTTTTAACTGCCTTTGCATCCCTGGGGTGTCCACGTAAAATCAAAACTGACAACGGGCCTGGTTATGTCAGTACAGCCTTCACTCAATTCTGTACTCAGCTAAACATCCAACATGTTACAGGCATCCCGTACAACCCCCAGGGACAAGGCATAGTAGAAAGAGCTCATCTCACCATAAAAACCACTCTAAATAAAATAAAAAAGGGGGAATGGTACCCCCATAAGGGATCACCAAAAAACCTTTTATCACACTCTTTGTTTATTTTAAATTTTTTAACACTGGATCAAGAAGGACACTCCGCTGCTGATCGACACTGGCATTTTGAATCCAAAAGCCATTATGCATCGGTAATATGGAAAGATCCCATGACGGGCGCATGGCATGGCCCGGACCCGGTCCTGATTTGGGGTCGAGGATCGGTGTGCATTTATGCCAAGGAAGCCGATTCGGCCAGGTGGCTTCCCGAGAGACTTGTAAAGCAAGTAAGTATCAAAAAATCCGAAAAACCAACTCCACCCAGGGACGACATCGAGCCCTGAGGGTTTTCTATCTTTTCCCTTTTTGGGAGTCAACAACATGGTATTATTTGTTCTGATTGCTTTCCCTCTTTGTCTTATTGTCTAAACGGTCTTGTTATACTCAGCAAACTCAGGAGCTTCTCAGGATCACAAATTGAAGCCATGAAGATGCAGCCCATTCAGGTCCATTACCACAAGCAGGAGATGGTAGACCTAGAGATGGAGCTTGATACCTTTCCTCTCAGTTCACCCGGCGAGCTGAACCGGTTAGCCAATGACGGGCAACTGAGGAGCATGAGTAAGGACACTCCGCCTAAGATAAGGAGGAAAACGTTTTTCCCTCCCCATGATGAATAAGGAGTCAATGTTCTCTCATGTGGGGTCCTCTGACCTAAGACAGGCACGGTTCCCGCGGGCATAACTACCACTCAGCCTAATTTCTAAATAAAATAAAAAAGGGGGACCTGTGGGAAGCTGTGAGCACAGGCCAAATCCTGGGGCCAAGAGAGCCCAGGTGCCGCTTGTGGAAGGCTCAAGTCCTGATGATTCAGGTCCAGCCCGTGGACGGCACGAGGCGGCACGGGGCTGGTAGTGGCACGAGGCACACCAGGCCGGAATTTTCCAACTGCAAGCTTCCTTTGCCCCGCCTCCCTGCCTGGCTTATTTAAGCTGTGAGCTCAGCAACAATAAACGAGACTTGATCAGACTCCTGTCTTGTCTCCATTTCTCGCGTCTCCTGCCCATCCATCCCAACTCCCTCCCTTCGGGGCCCCTGTTGTCGTCCTGCAGGTCGGGACAGACATTCATTATGAAAGGATAACCCTTTGAACCCACTGTTCAGTGTCAGCATCATTACTACTGAAACAACCAGACACCATATGCTTCCTGCTGTACTGCAGTATTAAGTATATGGTATCACCTATGAAGTGTTCTCTCCACCCAAAAATTGAACCTGAACTTGAAGCTTTAGATTTAATATTTAATGTACAAGAAATAAATAAGGTAGAAAAATAACACTACAGAGAAGCAATTACCCACACTGAAAAAGTGGTTCATTTCAATAGGACGACCGACCTGGTTTCTTTTTCAACATGTTAAGTGTTAAAAAGTCTGTTTTAGATCAAAGGAGACTGACAAGACCACATGCAAATACATTGCACAGCGCTTGTTTGATTCAAAGAAGTCATGTGTAAAAGCCTTTTTTAGGC